CAAGAAGCTGTGGATGCAATTAAAGTTTTGAAACACTGAAAGTACATATTTACAAGCTCGTCTAGTCTGTTATAAAACGATAAAGGAGTTTAAAATTGAAAGAAAAAAAAAAACTTTATAAATCTCATGCGTCCGATGCGATTTTCTGGATTTACCTTTATCAGGAACGCTCAAAGCCAAATATCAAATGCCAATTGATCCATTTTCGACCACATTCTATAGGTGTGTCAAAAAAAGGTAATGAAAATCTTAATTAATCTGTTTTTCATAATTGTATATCAATTGAAACAGTCGCATAGCATTCCATCACCAAAACATATTTCAAACATAAGTGAAAAGTAACATAACAAAAATACCGAACGCCAAGGAAAATTTAAAACGGAAAGTACCTTATCAAATGGCAAAATCAAAAGCTCAAACACATCAAACGAATGGAAAACAACCGTCATATTCCTGACTTGGTATTTCCTTATGTAGAAAATAGTGGATTAAACCTGGGTTTGTAGCTAGCTTAACTTCTCCCTTGTATGACAGTCGCATAAAATTCTATTTTATTGACAACAATGTGTGAACAAAACAAACAGACATAATAGTGAAACTTCACTTATTTCGTCCTGATTTAGGACTATAGTATATACTTTTTGATTTAGTGGTCGACCTCTTTTAATCGATGTGACAGACAGATATAAATTTGCTGTTTGCAATGATATTACATGTAGCTGTATCCTGAGCTCATTAAACTATTTTACGATTTTCAGAAAACAATTGCATATATCATTAACAAAACAAGATTAATTATATGCTTTGGTAATTATTCAAAAGGTTTTGTTAACATATTGGAAAGAGACAGTAACTTCGGTTTCTCCTCTAAATATTGTGATCAATTATGGAAAATGTGGACAACGAAATTCATTTTCTCAGATGGATACTATTTGCAGTTTTCTTTTATATATAAGGATTTTGAAAAAGAATATATTTATTTAAATTCTTAAGTCAGACTTACTGTTCAGAAAACTTACAAACAATTGTATTATAATTATGTTTGACCTCGATTTGAACTGCGGTGTTTACAAAATTAATTGTGTCTAATCTTTATATCCTTTACGACGTGATCAGAATTTTGTACCGTGTTACAAGTCTAATATATTTACAGCTCAGAGGCAGATGCAATCTAAAACGCAAAGTTTTTTTTTATTTGGATTTTGGTAACGAACAAAACTTTAAAAGGTTCCAAGTATACACAATACACAAAGAACTGCAACAGAACAACCAAAGTTAGTTATGCTCAAGACAGCCAGCTGCAAACTGAGTTTTATAGAAAGAAAAAAAAAACACATAGTATTAAATATACTCATCATAGATACCAGGATTACAATTGTGTACGCCAGACGCGCGTATCGTCTACAAAGACACATCAGTGACGCTCAAATAAAAAAAGTCTAAAAGGCCAAATAAAGTACGAAGTTGAAGAGCATTAAGAACCCAAATTTCCGGAAAGTTTTGCCAAATACAGTTAAGGTAATATATTCCTGGGGTAGAACAAAGTTAAAGTTTTGTAAACAGTTAATTTATAAGTATGACCTTATCAATGATATTTCATATCAAGACAGATGTACTGACTACTGGACTGGTGATTTAACTCATTACTCTATACATGTATAATTATACACATTATAACATGTTTGTGACTTCGTACACAACCTTTCACGGTATTTAACCTGGTATCTCAATATGTATCGTATTTCATTCTTAACAAATCTAATCCATTTAAACGATAATTTAGTTTTACATTTACAGACAAACAATGTTTGCTAATAGCTATTATGAAATAGGAACACATATTCATTTCATCATACTAGTGCAGATGAGATGTGTATTTTATGTGAGCAGATTACATTTATATTATGTATATTCTACAGGAAACAGGAATTTAAGTATCGTTGTATTGTTTTACCCTCTCAATAACTAAATACCTTTGAGATTTCCCACACCACTTAATTTATATCTTCCAAAGCGAAACAAATATTGCATCTGTATTTTTCATGCAAAATTTGTTGATGTGAGTGAATTATCGTTTTGAGTACACATGTTGCTCGTATTTGATTTTACCATACAATATATATGAAAATGACCATTGGTGGTCAAGCATGTTCGCGTCACGTTACAGTGACAGCATAAATGATATTTCTGCACTTTTATTACAATAATTTTATTAGTTATTATAAGTTAGATTTAAAGATTACATTTGCCCACTCCTGAAAGTTGTTTATTTTATAATAAAATAATCTTTAGAATTTCGTGACGTTCTTCTGTGAAAAAATTGTAGACTTTAGCTTGACAAAATCACGTGATAGAAGGAAAGATTAAAAAAAAAATAATGTCGTTCATTTACTGGACAACACCTCCCTACCGTCATTAAAATCAAATGTTTACAATAAAAGATGGGATGAAATATGAAGCTAATATAATAAGTTTCAAATCTCGTCTGTCAAGGCTTACAATGGGAACATAGATACACTCATCATAGATATTAGGCTTACAATGGGAACATAGATACACTCATCATAGATATCAGGCTTACAATGGGAACATAGATACACTCATCATAGATATCAGGCTTAAAATGGGAACATGGATACACTCATCATAGATATCAGGCTTACAATGGGAACATGGATACACTCATCATAGATATCGGGCTTACAATGGGAACATAGATACACTCATCATAGATATCAGGCTTACAATGGGAACATAGATACACTCATCATAGATATCAGGCTTACAATGGGAACATGGATACACTCATCATAGATATCATGCTTATATATCGTTTATAAGAGAGTCATCAGTGACGCCCGAACCAAAAATTGAAAAAAAACAAAGAAAAACAAAGAAAGATATAAACGAACAAAAACGTGAAACAATTTTCGAGTCAAACTATATATTAAAGTGCTTCGGCAGGGTAAAGATTTCCTCTGATGTAGGAATCTGCATCCAAAATTTCACGACCAGTTTAAAAATCAGAACTACGCTTTGTAGACGTAGGTTATCTTATTTGATCTATTTGACAACAGATTGGATTTTGACAATTACATTTATGTTTAACTTGTTTATCCTCTGTGACAGTTTAGACAATAGTTAACGAATACCTGGCATATTCCGAAGTGGAACCTTCATAAAGTCATTGCTGACTTTTGTGATGTTTCTTTTTGGCATCTGTTAATCTTTTTAATCCTTTAATTGCATGTGCTTGGTGTAATATGTTGTGATTGGTGACTTGATACATTATATTTATATTTTAGGTTTTTGTTCAGTTTGGTCGATCTAAAAAGTTTGAGATGGGAACTATTAACCTATTCCTTCTAGCATAGATGTATTTATACACCTATGCTTCCAGCAAGCTTTACAAACTCCAAACAACCAACGGTCTGATTTATGTACAAGAACAAGAACATATTTTATTACCAATAAAGGGCCCACACGGGGCATATAGAGCATGCATGTATAAGGAAACAAGACTTCCGGGCGTAATAATTTGTCAAATGATATTAAGTTATTTCATTGTCATTATAGTTATTTAATATTATTACATTGGAAAGATGTGAAGATGGAAGGCCAACGTTTATTAGATAAACAGATCAATAGTCATTTCCCTATTTTCTATTTCCTGTCAATATTAAGTAAGCGATCTATTTTAACATCTATGAATGTGATAATTATCAAGGTTAAATCACTAGAATTCAATTGTTATAGAAATAATAAACGCTGTGTGTAATTTAATACATGTACTAGCCGAAGTGTAGTGTCATGTACATGTTATTAAGCAATTTGTCACAAATCTGATAAGAATAGAATTTTTTAAATCTTGAATTTCATTAGGCTGTGTATGATCACATAAACAAGATATGACGATAATAGTCCTCATTATAATCATTTCAACATTTTTGTTTTATTTATTTTAAAAACAAATGATTTGGATGAAAACAAATCAACTGGAGACTCTTTTCATTTGGCTAAATACCATCTGTCTCAATAACAACAGACTTTACTGATCGATCGATTCTTATACACAATTTTTACACAGTTTTAACTTACTTCTCTTTTAAGAGGTTCTTTATGGGTTTTTTTTTAATTCTTTTTTTTTTTTTAGAATAGACCACACAAAAATAGGTAAAAAAAAACAAAGAGCAGGAAAATTAAGGCGATAGTAGTTTATTAATGTTTAAATCTCGCTAATCGATTAAAAAGAGATAATTCAAGGTAACAAACAAAAACTGAGGGAATCGTATCGATGACCTCCAAAGGGAGCCGGAAGGTTAAGCGTCTCCTGATATGCATGCATCACCCGCCATATTTATTTAGGGAGCTACCATTTGATTTTTAGGGGGGGCTAGGATGAAAAATTTTGATATGCATTTTTTTTTTAGTTTTGTAATCTCTGTCCTGCCTTCTGATTTTTCACTCTATTCGGTCCTGCCTTTTTATTTTTCACTCTATTCGGTCCTGCCTTTTTTATTAGTTTATCCTGACTTTTTTACATAAATTGTAATTTTGCCAAGTTGCTCATCCTGCCTTTTTTTTACTCAAAACTCCTGTCCTGCCTTTTTTTTCAAATTTCATCCTAACCCCCCATTAAAAATCAAATGGTAGCTCCCTTATGCGAATTCACTCTCCGTCAAAATGTCACAATCGGGAATCGGTTAAATTACAGATCAGACGACCATACTGGTATCCAAAGATCTGAGGCCAAATTATTCCAAAAAAAATAATTAAAGAATAGAGAGTAATGGGCAAAATAAATAAAGAATTAACAAAAATGGCCAAAACATTGAAGAATACAGAAATGAAGACCCCCAATCCAGACCCTCTTTTATTGACCATTTTCGGTAACTAGTTTGTTTACAAACAAAATCAATGATAAGTTTAACCGTTGACATTCACCTTTATAAACTGACTGATAAATTTTATAAATGAATAACATGCGTTAAGCTGTATGTGTGTGAAGTGTTGATAAGTTTTTTTTAAACTGACACATACGTACAAATATCATAGTAGCTACGCAAAGACAATCGGATTGCAAACTGGCTTATACCAGTTCTATCTGGGGGATTGAAACTTTGAGAAAGCCCCTATAATTTGTATTACACTAAATATATTTTTGTTATTCACAGCGACAATGCGAACTTTACTATACAGATATGTTCCTGCTCTTAAAAGCAATTTTTTTACAAAATCGCAAGGTAAGGTTTTTCTTATTCTTTCATTTTATATTCAGAACAATTATGAATATCCTTTCATAATCATATAGTAAAGACATGTTATAGTATTGTATTATATATATATGTATGTCTCTTTTAACATGATATACAATTTGTTCATTAAAAAAAAGTACCATAATACATGTAACTATTATTTTTATTGATTTTGTCCTTACTGCAACGCAGCAAGTTATACATTGCTCATGTCAAGTGAAATACAATACACTTTACATTAATATTTACCAGGCTCCTTTATTACACAGTCTATGGAACTGATGGCAGGGGGCACTTAATGTCATTTGTTGTGTTGTGTGTTCAATATTTTTATTATGTTTTCTATGTGAAGGTGATGTTGATGTTGTTGTTAATCGTAATTGATTTGCTTTTGGCCCTCTTATATATGTGTAATTTGTGTTTAATAAAGAGAATGAACCACAAACTTAACTAGTGCTGGAACTAATTAAAATCACTGTATAATAACCTGGTGATCGTTAGGTACGACAAGGATTTTAACGCTTTCGTAATTCGTAAAAGTAAAACTATCGAAATCCTTGCGTACGTTAGTAATACAATATTTAACAAGAATGTGTCCATAGTACACGGATGCCCCACTCGCACTATCATTTTCTATGTTCATTGGACCGTGAAATTGGGGTCAAAACTCTTATTTGGCATTAAAATTAGAAAGATCATATTATAGGAAACATGTGTTCTAAGTTTCAAGTTGATTGGACTTCAACTTCATCAAAAACTACCTTGACCAATAACTTTAACCTGAAGCGGGACTGACGGACGGACGGACGAACGAACGGACGCACAGACCGGAAAACATAATGCCCCAAGGTGGGGCATAACAATAAATCAGAAAATACGCTTCTTATTTTAAATGAATTATTGTCGTTGTGAAACTGTTTTTTTAACATAAAGAATACCTACTAGACATAGATATAACTTCAACTTGGAACTTAACTATATATTAAGGAACTTCTATCTCATGACAATGTATGGTCAAAACGTTTGACTCGCATTATATTTTGGTATGAAAACAAATCATTCAAATGTGCTGATGATTTTATATTATAGCGCCAGTTTAGTTCAATGAGGGGTTCTTTGTCGTTTTTATACGACCGCAAAAAAATCCTGGTTGATTGTGTAGAGAATCACTGAAGCATGACTGACCATGACTGGAGTGGGCCCCCTTATGAAAATTTCTGGATCCGCCACTGGTCAATGAGGGATTGCCTTCTGTGATCTCAATGTTATGCGGGGAAGAGGGAAAGGGTAGACTAATGCAGTTACCACCCCTCTCCCGCAGAAAGCGAGTATTGTGCGATAGGGTTTTTCACATTGTTGCTGTGTACTACTTTAATTACGACAGATTGGGGGACTGCTGAGGGGGATTGTCGTTCGCGTTCTTTCGAGGCCTCCTGGTGAATAAAACAAAGATGTCTATATATATGTTTATTTCGAGTCCAACCATAAGAGTAATCATATAAATTACATTAATAAGAAATAAAAGAGTTTGATTCTTAAAATGAACTTAAATTAACAATTATCAAAATACTTTATTAATTAATTGAAATAGTTTATCATGATATTTTTGGTAACTTTAATAAAGAAAGTTTTCTGTTATAAAATTGTTACATTAAAAGATTAATAAGGTTAGTAATACGTTTTATTTTTCATTATAAACAAAAATTATAAGTTTACGAACCTGGTGAATAAAACAAAGATGTCTATATATGTTTATTTCGAGTGTAACCATAAGAGTAATGTTTGGTCCCTTAGGGTTTCATATTTTAAACCCTAAGAACACGTGCTGATTGGACTCGTTTTATTCACCAATTAAAATGCCTTTTAGAATAATAAATTTTATGAGAACAGTTTCTATTGGTTAGATCTCTCTTATCTAATTTACATTTTAAAATAATTTGGGGTTACTATTTTAAATTACTCAATACATTGTTTTCACGACCATTAGGGGAAATCCGATTAATTGGTTAGATAGAATTCTAGGTGAACAAAAGCAGAGAATTATATATATTTGCTAAAAGAAATACTTCTAAGAGTTTAAGCTGTCAAACCTTATTTATATTCTACATGTTCTAAGTGTCAAGTTTAATCAAAAAGGAAGAATTTCACATCAAATACTTATATATTAAAAGTTACATAACATTATAGACTTTCTAATTATATCTTTTTATACAAAAACCTTTATACAAGAATTAGTTATTTTCTACAATTACATGGAAATAAACTCATCATAGATACCAGGATTGAAATTAAGTATTTGCGCCAGACGCGCGTTTCGTCTACAAAAGACTCATCAGTGACGCTCGAATCAAAAATGTTAAAAGGCTAAATGAAGTACGAAGTTGAAGAGCATTGAGAACCAAAAATTCTTAAATATTTTGCCAGATACAGATTCACTTAGTTTTTATATGAAATATTAAAATTTTTTCCATTATATCAGAGACATATAAATAGAAAATTTAGTTTATATGTCTCTGATTATATCAATAATAAAGATCAGGTTTTGTTCAGTTTTCACAATCTTACATCATAATGTGATGAATGATTACTGTCACACGGTTTGAAGATGCATCAATTAACATCATATCTTTAAAAAAGTTTAACGCTTGAAGGGACATTTTTTAGCACTGGTTTAAAGGACATGTTTTGCACTTAAACATTTTATGATTTATAATGAAAATAGTGTTTTCATAGGATTTCACAAGTCTGTTGGAGTCTTGCAGAGATTGGCGACAGAAGAACCGAAGGCACCATTTATTCAAACAGAAATTCCAGGTCCGAAGTCCAGGACATTATTTAATGAACTAAGTACTGTTCAGGTAAATTCAGTAGGGTTATCTCTAAAAAAAAAAATGACAATATCTTTTTGCGCCAAAAAAGAACTCATTTGCGCCACAACTTATTTGCGCCACTACAATTTAAAAAATAATAGGTATCATTTCCGCCAATAAAAAAAATCATCGAATTCGATAATTTTATAAATTTATTTATTTTTACTTTTATACGTCAACTAAATAATTGACTTATCTCCTCCTTTATCCATGCTTCGGACCAGCAATTTTCCGACTGACAGAATTAAAGTCATCTTAATACAAAAAAATATGCTGAATCATCTTTATTTGTTACAACACCAGTATCACCAAGAGTTTTGTGGGATTCTGATTGATTAATTGGTCGAGCCGGGTGAAGTTTTCTTCTTTCTCTGTACATGGAGTGACGAACATATTTCAAATCTTTCTTTTGTTTCTTTTCTAAATGTTCTTCTTCAATTTTAAAGTTCTTTGAATTAATTATTGTAGAAGATCGCTCATATATATAACATATCAGTTGCTTTTTCGTTTGCATGCTATTCTCAAAATATGTCTTTCTACTTTCTGAGAATTAGTTTCATGTAAATAATTTAAAAGTCTAGCACAACTTGACTTAACTGTGCATCTCCAACTTATTTCTCTAACAAATGCCTGACGAAATGTGTGTACTTCCGACAACCCATAGATGACAGGTTTTCCTCTATCAGACTCTATTTTCTCGAACGATATGTATTGTTTTATTTATAGCGCAGATTGTTTCGCGTCGTTTCGACTTCTCGCAGCTTTTAAACCAGCACTTCGAATTTCAATAGATATAAGAAGATGTTGTATGGGCGCCTCAACTTATTTGCGCCAATGCTACTTCATATATATAACTGTGCATCTCCAACTTATTTCTAACAAATGCCTGACGAAATGTGTGTACTTCGACAACCCATCGATGACAGGTTTTCCTCTATCAGACTCTTTTTTCTCGAACGATATATTATCAGACATCTTTAAAAACTATTCTATTACTGAACAATTTATTTATTGGTGACTTTTCTTAATTTTGATGAGACAGAATTCAATTTAATCTAAAGTGGATATGTTAATTGTAGTACATGTTACATAGGTGAAAAAAATATACAGGTAAATGTGGCGCAATTTGATTCCATTTACTGGCGCAATTAATACCATCAGAAAAATAGAGAGTGGCGCAATTGATACCTTTTCAAAACTGTAATTGGCGCAAATTGATTCTGCCCCCAAAAAATACATTAGAAACCCTCAGGTTATGCCGGCCGTCTGAGGACTAATTGATACATCAAAATTGGTGCTTAAAGGTCAAATCAAGTTTTAACAGAAAGCCTTCTTTAAAAAAGGAAGTGGTAAACATAAGATAAAAAAAAGAATAAATTAAAGCGATGAAAAATATATTAGATGAAAATCCTGCAGGAGTTTTGTAATCAAAGCCAGGCAAATTAATTAACTCGTGCGATCACTAAAGTGCGGAACGAGAAGGTCCATTTCGTGTTTTTCATACATATACATATATCGTGTTTGTCATATCATATAAATGACTTTACTCTTATTTTGAGTAATTAATGATCGTAAGGTGTATTACATAAGAGGGTCTGGATGGATTTTACAGAATAGAGAATAATGAGCAAAAAGAGCAGAATAAATGGCAAAAATATAAAGAATAGAGATAAACAGGGCCAAAAAAATAAAGAATAGAGAATAATAGGGTGCTGAAATGTAAAGAATAGAGAATGATAGGGGCTGAAATATAAAGAATAGAGAATAATAGGGTGCTGAAATGTAAAGAATAGAGAATGATAGGGTGCTGAAATGTAAAGAATAGAGAATAATAGGGTGCTGAAATATAAAGAATAGAGAATAATAGGGTGCTGAAATATAAAGAATAGAGAATATAATAGGGTGCTGAAATATAAAGAATAGAGAATAAAGGGTGCTGAAATATAACGAATAGAGAATATAATAGGGTGCTGAAATGTAAAGAATAGAGAATGATAGGGGGCTGAAATATAAAGAATAGAGAACAATGTACAAACAAAAAGAATAGAGAAAAATGACCTACAAAATTAAAGAATACGAAATGAAGGAAATCTAGACCCTCATATAAGTATTATGTCAGAACAAGATTAAAATAGAAATTCTGATATAACATGTTGTTGATATACATGTACAGTTCAATCCCGAGAGTTCAATAACCTACATTGACCGAGGTAACAAGATGACCCAAATAAATAAATGTAAACAGGATTATATTACAACTGATTTCCTTTGTCTTTCTGTTCATGTCTGATGAAGCGTTAATATACAGCCGTGATATGTGGTGATCTTTAAGCACTTTATGATTCATTAGAATGTTTCGTTATATCACTGTTTGAAGAGAAAAGAAAACATTTTTTTAAATGAAAAGGACCTAGGCAAACCATCAATGAACGACTACAAAATTTGACGGACGATCGATTTCTATTAAAAGTTGCTTTACCTTCAAACTGACAAACGGACGAAACTATCACATGTTATTAAATACTTTTGTCATAACCATTTGTTGTTAATGTGCTAATAAAGTTATCTTATCTAATGTACAAATCTGAACGCCGTCAACAAAGCCTGAGAGTTGAGAAATGTAAATAAGGGACCATCTCAATAGTATGAATTTCCCTATTGATTTATTGAATCGAGAGCGCTACCAATAAATGTGAAATAATTGTTTCATTAGACAGTTGATAACAAAACACTTTTTCTTATGAAAGTCATTCAATCTTTTCTTAGTTTAGCATGTTTTGGTTGATTGGGTGGCTGGTTGATAAAATGTTCAAGTGACAATTCTTCATGTCGATGAGTTGGGTTGGTTGGTCGGTATTGAGTGATTGATTGAATTATTATTTATTGATTGATTGAAGGTTTGCATAGCGTGAAGAGACATAGTCCTATTGACTAATTTAATGATTGTATGTTTATGTGACGTCCAGTGACAAATATTTAACGAACATTCCTTACCCAGAGAATCATGTAAAATGGTCTACCTCCTACAAAGCAAGATTTAAAAAAGAGACAGGATGGAAATATATAACTTGCTCGATTGAAATTCGTCGATATTATGCAAAATTTCAATTATGTCCTTCCTTATTTTTTTTTATTTTTTTTTCAATTTTGCCCTTTTAACAATTTTACTGTTATAACTAAGAGATTACCATTATACCGACATCTGCAGAGCTCCAAGGGCAATCAGCATACTGGCAGTTTTCAGTAAACATATAAATTAGTAAGAAATAAATAAAAGAAAGGGAATTGTATCAAGTCTAGTATCAATCATTCAAACCAACCAGCCTATGTGAAGAATTTGTCACTTAATGTTATTCAAACATTCCTCAACCAACTAACCAACTAATAATCATGTAAGAAAAGGAGGAAAGACCTTCACTCGAAATACTTTTATATTCATTGGAAGCACTGTAAGGAAAGTGTGCCGAGTAAATCAGTTATACGGAAATATTAATACTTTTGAGATGATCTCTTATTTAAATGTCTATTTAAACCCATAGGTACTTGGGGGACAGGGCAATTTTTTAGCCGTCCCCCTTTTTTCCAAATCCGTAATTTTTATTGTTTTCTATTAATTTCACATTATTTTCGCGTTAATAGTATTACAGGAAAACGCGTAAATAATTGAAATTAATAGAAAATAAAAAAATAACGGATTTTGGAAAAAAGGGGGAGGGCTAAAAAAAATTGTCCTGTCCCAAAGTACCTATCGGTTTTTATAGTGTCATTTGCTCATATTCATTGAAAATTTTTTCATTTGCTCTTTACTCGATAAAATAGATTAAAAGTTTATCTTTACAGAATTCTCTAGCAGTACAATTTTTTGTTGACTATGACAAAAGTTATGGGAACTACCTCGTGGATGTAGATGGGAATGTCATGCTCGACATGTTTACACAGATAGCTTCTATTCCTATTGGTGAGTATAATAGTCTTTTATTAACTGTCAATGGTTTGCTGTAACCTTGATTCTTTGTCCATTTTATACACTTATATCAAGGTCATTTTAGTACACGACCACATTGCGCGATTATCCAACAAATTCCGCAACACGCTTTCAAAACGAATGTTCCTTGCCAAGTTTTCAAAATAGTTTTCGGAAGCAACACTCGACAAATGATCAATGATATCTACAAGTAGCAAGCAGGGCATTATCGTACAAAAACTTTGTTGATTATGTAGAACGGAAAATGTTGGGTTTACGTCAATATAATGAGACAGCAACCCAACTACACAAACAACCAAAAGACACACTGTCTTAAACAAGAGATAATTGTATGATGAATGTTGTCATGCTCATGAGATAATTTGACTTTAAAGTTGTTTTCTATCTGTCGCTGCAAACATTGGATTGTCACTCTTGTATGTTGGAGATTAAAATTAAAAAAAAAAACACTTTAAAAAAAGGTGCGTTCGAAGCGCTTTAATGGATTAACCGTCATGAGGAACGCTCAAAAACTGAAAGCTTAGTATTTATTAATACTAAGTACCCAAGGTTTGACTATTGTAAAGAAATATGGTCATCCCTGGACTTCTGTCGTCTGTTCATAAAACCTGCAAATCTGGGGCGTCTGTTTGGTTGTGTGGGGTGTATAAATACACAGCAACGTCCGGTCGGAATAGGGATGTTAAGTCCGATGCCACCTGTAGGGAATGTGACACGCTCTCCGCACTTTAATGAAACTTTGTAACAACTCTGTGAGGGGTCAGTAGGTGACATGTCGCAAGATCCAATATCTGTGCCTATCCAACATACCCTCATTTTCCAGTGGCATGCCAAATGTCTCGCCCTTCATTCTGCGCGACCTACCTATTAAATTAATTGTCAATTTGTTCTAGTCCTGAAAATGATTAAAATATTTAACACTGGACGTTAAGAGCACACAACAACCAATCAATCATGCTACATCTCTTTACATTTGTATTTTGTTATTATCATAGGTTATAATCACCCATGTTTGGTTGAGACAATTAAAAAGGAGGAAAATTTGGTAAGTTAATTTCACTATTTTTTACCTGCTTTTCACATTTCATGATTTTTTTTTTAATAAGCAATGGAAGATGCATGTGACAAAGATATTAATTTTGTTTTTAAATACAATTTGTATAAGATTGCTAATCACTATGTATGCAACACTGGGTAAGATTAAATGCTATATATTTATGAATCTTCAGAGATAAGAACGAATTATATAGATATGTGCCAAAATTATAGGTAAAAGGTACAAAATTGTAGATTGACTTATTCATGAGTGAAGGATATGTTTTCTTCTATGAACCATTTTGATTTTTGAAGAACTATGAAACGAAGGAACGAATATTTTGATACTAGCAACGTATTAGATAAAACTCATATTTGCAAGTTTAAAACATTGCACGTTTGTAACGAACAATATATTTTGAAAATGTTAAACATATATGTTGAAACGAATGCCTTGATATTAATTATAATTTATCTTATGCAACGTATGTTTTGCAAATATAACATATCTGTAACGAATCGTATAAAAAGCATGTTTTGTATTATTTTTTTGGTGCAGTGATTTCTGGAAGAATGAATGTTTTGAGCAGTCTTTTGTAGTACTTTTCTAGCCCCATCCCCCCTCAAAAACTACAACATAATAAGTGCCGTAAAGAGGGAAAAATTAAACTCTTTTATCTGTGTATATTTTTCTAAAATATAATACTATAGACAAAGCTTACTAGACATTTGCGGAAACTGTCATACACCTACGATTAGGATTACAATTACACTTACAGCTAGCATTTAAATCTTGGGTCGTTTCAAAGTGTAAATATAAACCGTCGGTTCAAAACAAAGACTAACTCCTCTGATGTTTTTCTATAGTTGAACAATGGGATTACAAAGAAATATCGATAAAAATGGCATCTTGGCAGCTTGGCAAATCGGACTAAGACAACTACTTTTATAGACAGTTCGGACCAGTTTGAAAGACAACTCGGACCAGTTTGAAACACTTGTCAGACCACCGGCTCTTCTTGGTTTTTATACGACCGCAAAAAAATTTTTGTGGTCGTATATTGGTATGACGTTGGCGTCGTCGTCGTCGTCGTCGTTGTCGTCGTCGTCTGGCGTCGTCCGAAGACACATTGGTTTTCGCACTCTAACTTTAGTTTAAGTGAATGGATCTCTATGAAATTTTACCACAAGGTTCAATACCACAAAAGGAAGGTTGGGATTGATTTTGGGGGTTATGGTATTAACAGTAAAGGAATTAGGGGCCAAAAAGGGGCCAAAAATAAGCATTTTTGTAACTTCCAGACATAACTTGTGTGTTAGTGTATGGATCTCTCTGACATTGTACCACAAGGTTCCATATCACAAAAGGAATGCTGGGATTGATTTTGGGGGTAATTGCCTCAAAATTTTAGGAAATAGGGGCCAAAAAAGGGGAAAAAAACAAGCATTTTTCTAGTTTCATGACAATAACTTGTGTGTATGTGTATGGGAAAGCTGGAATTGAGTTTGGGGGTAATTGCCGAAACGTTTAGGAATTGGGGGCCAAAAAGGGGCCAAAAATAAGCATTTTTCTAGTTTCCAGACAATAACTTGTGTTCAAGTGTATGGATCTCTCTGAAATTGTACTGCAAGGTACCATACCACAAAGGGAAGGCTGGGATTGATGATGGGGGTAATTGTCTCAATATTTTAGAAATTAGGGGCCAAAAGGGGCAAAAAACAAGCATTTTTCTAGTTTCAGGACAATAACTTGTGTGTAAGTGTATGGATCTTTCTGAAATTGTACTACAAGGTTCCATATCACAAAGGGAAAGCTGGGTTTGAGTTATGGAGTAATTGCCCTAAACTTTTAGGAATGTGGGGCCAAAAAGGGGCCAAAAAACACATTTTTCTAGTTTCCAGACAATAACTTGTGTTCAAGTGTATGGATCTCTCTGAAATTGTACTGCAAGGTACCATACCACAAAGGGAAGGCTGGGATTGAGTTTGGGGGTGATGAATCATAAGGGGGTTCAAAAAATTGGGGGGGGGGGATTTTTTTTTTTTTCCTTTTTTTATGCCGAATCTAACCGTGTATTTAGATTCTTAATTTTTGGTTCCGTTTTCAAATTGGTCTACATTAAGGTCCAAAGGGTCCAAAATTAAACTTAATTTGATTTTAACAAAAATAGAATTCTTAGGGTTCTTTGATATGCTGAATCTAAACATGTATTTAGATTATGATTATGGGCCCAGTTTTCAAGTTGGTCCAAATCGGGGTCCAAAATTAAACTTTGTTTGATTTCAACAAAAATTGAATGTATGGGGTTCTTTGATATGCTGAATCTAACCATGTATTTAGATTTTTGATTTTTGGGCCCCGTTATCAACTTTGTCCACATTGAGGTCAAAAGGGTCCAAAATTAAACTTTGTTTGATTTCATCAAAAATTGATCTCTTGGGGTTCTTTGATATGCTGAATCTAACCATGTATTAAGATTTGGGATATTGGGCCATAATAGGTGAATGTCCAATTTAAAATTTTTAAGTTCTTAGACCACATTCATTCTGTGTCAGAAACCTATGCTGTGTCAAATATTTAATCACAATCCAAATGCAAAGCTGTATCAAGCTTGAATGTTGTGTCCATACTTGCCTCAACTGTTCAGGGTTCGACCTCTGCGGTCGTATCAAGCTGCGCCCTGCGGAGCATTTTATTTCGTTTAATGTGATTTTTGTTTGTTTTTGTCTAGATTTTTTTCTTCTCAGTTTCCCCCAACTGACCATCTTAGCTTGCTGTGACAACTTGTCAGTTTGATGCATTTCAATAAGTTCTGTTACTATAAATTGTTTTATGACGGCCTAACGAGATCAATTAGAAAAATAATACAACAAATACCTTTCAATGCAATGTAAATATAAAGCAGATATATATATATTCGTCTTAACATATACGGGCCCGTGTTGTAATAAGTGATCCTAAAACAATTCCAAGATGGTTGAAACGCCTTTTACCGTCAGGCACCAAATGTTAATTTTCCGACTATCGTTAGCGACAACTTTGATTCAATCTTTGTGTAGTTTTTGTGGACTTTTGTTCGTATTTTCGTCGTTTTTCTTTTGACCATGGTGGAGATTTTTTTCTTCGACTTATGGGTTCTAAATGCTCCTTTGCATCGTTTCCTCGTTTATAAAAAAAGAAAAGTAACTTAAGCTGCATTAAACATATACATGCATTACATTTTAAATTAAATCAAGGATTTCAAAGTATAGACCCTCAAGCTAATAACTTCGTTTAAATATTCTTAAAGCACCCAGGTTGTCTTTTAAAATACACCAATGTCTGTGTATTGTCTATTTTAGATTAAATGCAAGTCAAACATGTTTTTAAACGAGGATTTTTTTTTATTTCTTTGGAAATAAAGTAGTTATATGATATCACATAAATCTATATTACATCATTCTTGACTTAAATGCTCTTTGTTTGTACAGATATTTGAAAGCACACGAATATTAATTGGATCCGAATCTTATTCAAACACATGACACATCATTAATAATATTTCATTAGGAATAAATTATAAGCTGACATTTTAAAAAATCGCCAACGCGATATCTACTACATGTATCATTAACGTAAAAAAACAGTAGAAAAATACCGTTTACATTATTTGGCAAGATTTAAACGTTATTGTTAAAAAAAATTACACACTATTTAAGTCGGTTAGGGAGCATTTGCGGATACAAAAGTGTAATCGTATAAAAGATGTACGACTTCCAATTACTATATACCGCCCGCTTTTGTAAAGCGAGTGGAACTATTAATACGGAAAAATGAATAAATGATAATTGTATTTCGTGCATTAACTTTATTTTCCCCCGTTATGGACGAAGAACACAGATTAACCATGACAGCACTACCTGCCCTATGCAGACACCACCAGATGTAAGATACACATTTCATTCGCCATCTGATTCTAACACTGGTAGTCCTAGCTTGACCACCGACAAACCAACCTTTTACAATCAGGGAAATATTATAGGCAATGATGTATACTTTTGGAATGGAGAAATGTGTTCACTTGTTTTGCAAGCAAACGATATTCCTTTTACAGGTGAAACTCCTGAAACTGTACTTTAAATTGTAGCCGATGCTAATGGTCTCTTCAGACAGAGAACTGGTCGGGATCATAAGTTTTCCCCGGGAAACAGAATTCTTCTTTTATGTTATGGTTACAATAGTACCCGTCTTATCATATGCTTTCTGAAATAGTTGTCCTTAGTGTTTCGACTACCAAAGATGAAACACATACATGTATACCTATTTCAAGAAACATTTAATGATAACCGTCTTATCTATTGGCCTTCTTTCACTGGATGATTGGCAGAACTTACAAGGTGCCAGGGTGGCCAAAACTTCCGTTTGCAGTAGGGCTATCGAAGGAAAGTTTGTGTCTGATAACGGAACTACAAGTCTTAGAATACTAGTAGTATTTCCCAGGACACAGACATTATCACTGCATTCACATTCAAGTTGTAATATTGAACGAAGACAGGAAATGTTATGTTGAGTGCGGAATTCTTTGGCATCAGCAATATATGATGATAAGAAATATAGGACAAGAATTACCTTTCACGACTGAGCTGATTTTGCTAGGCGACAAAATATATCCGAACAGATATCCAGTATTGACACCTTGCATGAGACAAACTCCAGAATATGCAGAGGAAGTGTAGAAAATTAAATAGACATATTACACACTAAAGAATAGGGGTTGAACACGCATTCAGAGAATAAAAAAAAAGTTATGGGGACTTTGTGGCGATTCACATCTGTTGTGACCATAGGTTTCTGCATTTGTGTGTCGTTGAAAAGACTTGTTTACATGATAAAAATATATAATTTCATTTTACTACAGATATCTCAATTGGGTTTATTTTCTTATTTTGAGAGCACCGGTGCCCCTTGTTTTTCGTCAACTGTAATAGACCTAGTTTCCGCAAATGTCTAGTGGGAGATGCCTTGGCTCATTTAGTGCAAGACTTTGGAACCCAAATTAAGTTAATTGCATAACAATTTATATGCTCTCATACCACATCTTCTTATATCTATCTAATGATAAGAACTAAATACGCTTCATCAAGTCTCATATTTGACTTACTCTTTGATATTTGAAAACAGCGTTAGTTATTACTGAAAATCCCCTTTTCAATGTGTCTGTATGTCAACTCACAATAGACACGTGTTTGCTTATTTGACATCATTCGTACACTTCCGTTCTTCGACAGAACGGATCTTGCATGTTTTGATGCTACGGAAATTTTATATTTCGTTGATGGATGTGGAGGAAAATTTTCCGTATTTAGCCGAACGATTATGCTGCTGTATGCTTTCGAAAATTTAAAAGATTAGGCAATGGCAGTTATTTTAAAAAGATTTATAAGTTATTTTTTTTTGCATTAATGTCAGGGAACCCTTGAAGAAAATACGACACTAGTGTCAATTTACAAATAATCTTAATTACATTTCTCTTTTATGTATGATTTGACCAATATTATTTTATATCTCACCTGGCCCGAAGGGTGATGTGAGCTTTTGCCATTCCTTTGTGTTCGTCGTCCGTCGTCCGTTTTCTTTCCTTAAAAGATCCTCTCTGAAACTGGTCCATGGATTGAAACCAAAGTTTGTCTGCTTCAACTGTAGGATATCAACAACAAAGATTTTGATTTTCGTCCAGGTTGATCAACCAAAGTGGTCGCATGTCTAAAAAGAGAAATGGTGTCTAAACAACAGTTTTTGGCTAATATATCTATACTATACTAATTATAGAGAAAAACTGACAGGATAAAAATGGTCAGAATAACAAATAATATCTAATACCTCAAAATTTTAAGAAAATAAATCTGTCCTCCTGTTTTGGAGTTATTGCCCTTGCAATGTTGATTTTTAACTTATTTTGAATGTCTTTGCCATTGTTTAAAACACTATAGGAGCTAGAATAAAAATGTAAATTGCAAATAATCAGCATGACAATAGGTATACACCAGGAAAATTGTAGAAAATCTAAGTACTCATTTTGGAGTTCTTGAAATATGGATTGTTTTTTTTTCAATTTTTTGTTGACTATTATTGTGAAAGCTTTAGGAGCTAAGTTCTTAGTGTAAATTGTAAAAAAGGATCAGCATGACAAGATGTACCTACCACGAAAATTGGAGAAATCTGTGGACTTCTTTTTGTAGTTATTGCCCCTGAAATATCATTTTTTTTTGCAGTTTTTGGCTGTTATCGTGAAAAATATAGGAGCCAGCTGTTATTGCCGATATGATCAGCACGACAAGACCCTAAAACGAATTTCAGAAAAATCAGTCAACATGTTTTCAGTTATTGCCCCTGAAATATCCATGTTTTCCAATTTTTCTCATATTTTGATTTTATTTTGAAAACTAAACTGTTAAAATTGTTAGCTGTAAAATGATCAGCCTAACAAGATCTATCTAGTCTGAAAAATTGACAACCCGTTTTTGGAGTTATTGCCCCTGAAATGTTGATTTTTATTTTTTATTTTTTGGGGCAGTTTTGGCTGTTATCTAAACAACTATAACAGAAGCTAGGCTAAACATGTAAATTAAAAGACAGTCGTTAAAAACCACCCTAGTAGTATGTAAATTCAAAAATAATCAGCAACACGAAGTGTAACTATAGTATGTGCATGTAAAAATCCGTATTAGCAAACTGGCGATTTTTCACAAGGTGGGCGATACAGGCACATGAGTGCGCCTCTTGTTTCATTTGGGTTTGGTGAGTGGTATCATGCTCTTGTATGCCTCTTGACAATTTAATCTCATTTAAAAGACTTTCTGTTAGATGAAATATTCATATTGTAGTGATTCAAACTGGATTATGGACGGAGAGGAGATTTATAAATCATCGAGGTAATCGTGTAACTTGTAGATGACGAAACAAATTACTGCATTTTGTGTATTTATCACATAGATATATCATTTTATCAAGAACAATTCAATTTGAAATTTATTGTTGTGTATGATAATATGATGCTTCGTTTGTCTTTGATTCAAGCTTTAAAATATGTAGAAGAAACAGAAAGAAAACATCACATCACTTGCCTTGATTTTGACAAATAAAAAAAAAACGGAAAATATCGTTTCAAACATTTCATAGTTTTTAAGTGTAGACATAGATATAATAGATAGACACAGACATAGAAATCTTTATTTTGAATCGGCATATTATAAAACATTTAAACATAAGCACTTGTAAGTTTTTTGCCGAACATAAAAGCGTATACAAAACAAATAACACAAGGCACCATGCACATATAAAACTTACATATTGTTTTGTTATAAATTAGGCTTCGTTTTCTAAATTGTATCGTTTCATATTTTTCATGTCGGAGCCTTTTATAGTCGATTATACAGTATGGGTATTTCTCATTGTTGAAGGCCGTACGGTTGCGTAATTATATCTGCTTACATCCACTTCATTTGAACTTTGGTGGATAGTTGTCAAATTGGCAATCATACGACATCTCTTTATTCTTAAAATGAATAAAGCCATGCAACAACAAAAATTACTGTCAATCAAAGCTGTCACTATGACAATTGCATGTATTAGGTACCACAGTTCGAATTTGGCTGCAACATAGTAAATATATTGATACAATTGATTAATTTGGAATTACCAAAATATGATGAAAAGCCTCCTGATGCTGTAACTATGAAAAACACAAGCTGTCAACGTGTATAACGCTTATATCGAAACATTTAAAAAAATATTTTAAAACTAACACGTAAACAAAAATAAAAAAAAAGAAGAAGACCAGAGTAAATAAGAATGTTCTTTTTCTTGTATTAAGTGTTCTATTTTTCTCCCTTTCAGTCTACCTTTATTAACAGACCTGCACTTGCCGTTTTTCCACCAGGAGACTGGCTGCAACGGCTACAATCATCACTGTTGGCGGTATGTACATAGAACATTCCCTAGCACTAATAAATACTTGCTCTATGGTTCCCAGCAATGAGTTAAAAATTGGTTCGAAAGAAACTTCATACGGTCATATCATGCACCGCTCCTTATTTCTCTGCTTCATGATAATCATAATAATAATACGAATAATTTAAATAGAAAAAGTCATTTTTGACAGCTGTTGAAATTTTTATTACGGTCTGTAACAACGTTGGATTTTTTTGGTACTTCTATTAAGTGTTTTTACTTTTTGACAACTTTATTTACATTGTAGGTGGCGCCTCCTGGACTTAATGAGATACAAACAATGGCATGTGGTGCCTGTTCTATCGAACATGGAATGAAAGCCATGTTTATTGCGTATCAGGTAAGTCATTAAATATTATATTACCTTTCGCAAAGCAATTAGGGGCGGAAGGACCTTTTTCGGGTCGTCGGGATTGGACCTTTTTTTTGCGAGGATTCGGTATTTACACTCGTATCGTGACTCGGTAATTAATTAATTTTTCGGGATTCGAGAAAGACTGCTTTATTTTTTTCGTGATTTCGGGATTCAGCGTTTATATTTCCGGGCATGGAATTCGGATGGCACCCCTCCTCCCACCTCTTTTTGCAATATATCATATTTCATAACTTTTACTGATATTAAGGTAACTCCGAATTGTTATAGTATAAAAACATATTGTAACTAAAAATTACCAGTATGTTTTTTCATCCACAGAGAAAGAAACGTGGAGGTCAACCACCGTCTAAAGAAGAACTGCAGACTTGCATTACAGGTGTAGCACCGGGTTGTCCCGATTTATGTATTCTTTCCTTCAAAAATGCATTTCATGGACGCACAATGGGTAATATTTTTTTAATTCAACGTAAAATGTAATTACAATGTCATAAAATCAGTTTCATTTTGACATAAATCCTAATAAGAAAAAAAATTTATTTAGCCATAAAATTTATCGATAGTTGTTGTTATTATATCACCGAGTTTATAATTTGAATGTATTTTAGATCCCAATGACTCTTTGTGGACGTCAACAGATATATGCTTGGTATAACATCAGCTTGTTCATCTTATAAGTACAGTGATGAAACTGTTTTCAATCAGATATATTCAGCAACATATGTTTCGATTAGCTTTATCCAAAACGATATCTTAATTCATGATGTAATATGTTTCAGGAGCTTTAGCCATTACCCACAGTAAACCCGTCCATAAACTTGATTTCCCTGTTCCATATTGGCCAATGGCGTCTTTCCCAATACTCAAATATCCCTTGGAGGAAAATGTAAGGGAAAATCAAGCTGAAGAGAGAAGGTGTTTGGAAGAGGTATGTACAAGAATGTCAGATAATGCAGATTACTGACGGAAAAGAGGGGAAGTGTATTGTAAACAAGATCAAAGTAACGCAAGTGTTGTGAATGACATACATCTTGATTTCCCTGCTACTTCGGCTGAAATCGGTTTCACTCGGGATTACTCGGTATCACACGTTTTTATTACTACAAATGAGTCTTAATCGTTGTCGATGGACTGTTACTCCCTGAAGGTACCATGTTCTTAATAGCCAGTGATTCAGTGTTGATATAAATCAGTTGATATATTTTGAATTATGAATTTAATATATTTTTGTACGAAAACGAAGTTCAATACTATCAAGAAATGTGTCCAAAGACCTTATTGACTATTAAAAAGGCTCTAAGTTTTGATGCTCATTACTTTTTCATGTATTTGGATTCGATACATTTGGCATCCGTCATACCTGATTGATACAAGATATTCTAGAAACACGCGTCATGCACCCTAAAATCCTTATCATATACATTTAGTTGTGGTTAGGTTTCTGAATAACAATATTATAGTTCTTTTGTGCTTTCATTGTTGAGAGAGAGTAGAGAGGCACGGATAGAGAAGGGGTTTACAAGGGGTAAATAGCAGTAAACGCGAACGGTTATTTTTTGGGTTTTCAAAATTTTGATGGCTAGCAAGTAAACTTTAGGATTTTTTTTTCAAATCTAAGCAATTTGCAGAAAACAAATATTTCATCAGTGACCTCATTATCCAGGAACCTTTTTGAAATGTCTGATGTAATTGATTCAATCGTTCTTACAGCAAACATTTTTTTACAATTTCGTATTAGTGTTAATTGTTATAAATTAGTCTCAAACACTATTGGTCACATTTTTTGAGTGATTGGTTCCAAAGTAAATTGTGATTACTATCGTATCAAGCATTTAAACTGTCCAGTAAATTTGATGCATCGGGTAACATCTATATACTTCATGTCGTATTAGATTGATATGGGTTTCTGAGTTTATAAACATTTCCCATTGAACATACTGCATTTGTTGCATCTTAGCGATGTAAAGTCGTACAGTCAAATGTTATAAACAAATGGTCGAACTTTGCCAAATGTTGTTGGAACTTTCCTAGAAACTTATAAAATAATATGGACTGAAAATGCATAAAAATATCCTAGACAAAATGAATCGAACTATGTCACAGGCTTTAAATTGATATTCATTCAAATTATTTTACAGTTGTCCATTGTGACTAATGTTCCATTACTGGCTCACGTTTTGGCGGTGGACTGGTATCAAGCTATAAATACTAATCTAGTAATTTACTTCATCTTTGTCAATTTATTGGTTTTCAACAGAAATTATTTTGTTTTTAAATTGGAAAAATATGTTTCAGAACTTGCTCTTCATTTTTTTTTAAATATGGCAAATTTGTTACTACATGAGCCGTTCATGTATTGGTTGTTAAATCCGTGGCAGTTAACAGGAAAGAACTCGTTTGGTCATATTTGAGTAGACAAAACTGAGCAATAACAGGAAACAACTCGTTTGGCCATATTTGAGTAGACAAAACTGATCAATAAAGATAACTTTTGAAGCCTGATAGGGCAGTGTATGTCGAAGTTAAAGACCGCTAGTTGACGTTCATTGATAATCGCTGTCACCCAAACCATAATCATACTAGTATCACTGTAGATTGGTCCAGTTTCCAACTTTACCTAGCCTTGCAGTGGAGAATACTTGTTAAAAGGCACAGGCAAAATATTCAAGAATTGATCATTGTGAATTTACTCTCTGCGGTACAAATTAAAGATTAAAACGATTGGCACACAATAGTTTATTAAAATTAATGACGTAATTGTAGGTTGAAGATCTTATTGTATCATGGAACAAATCCGGGAGACCAGTAGTCGGCTGTGTTATAGAACCCATGCAAGCTGAAGGGGGAGACAACTTTGCTTCGGCTGAATTTTTCCAAGGATTGCAGGAAATTTGTTCAAAGGTGATATTTTAAATGAAATGAATGTAGTGAATAAGATTTTTTTTTACCTTAAAAAAAGGAGGCGGAAGATACTAAAGGGAAAGTCAAACTTTTAAGTCGAAAACGAACTGACAATGACATGGCAAAAACGAAAACACCAGTCTACAAAACACACCAGAGAAAACTTAAGACTACGGAACACGCACCCCCCCCCCCCCCCCCTCCCCAAAAAAAGTCACCAGTGTTAAAAGAAAATAATCTCTTTTAAATGTACGCTTCAAACAAGAATAAGTGGGCCAGCAGGGCCAGTCAATATAATAAAAAGAAAAATAAGTGTAGTCAAATAGAAAATAATAATTCAGAAAATGTTATGTGCATGATCTGATTTCTTTATCGAGAATTCATCTTTAGTGCAGGGACATGACCCAGTTTAGTACTGTTATACAAGACTTTTTGACTTTTGAAAATATTTTTGTAGCATGACGTTAGTTTAGCAATAGATGAAGTTCAAACTGGATGTGGTTCCACGGGAAAATTTTGGGCACATGAACATTTTAACCTGAAGGAGTCCCCAGACATTGTTGCCTTTAGTAAGAAAATGCTGACTGGTGGATTTTACTACAAAGAACACTACAGACCACACGAGGTAATGTGATTTAACCTGATTGACTTTTAGAGATTTACAATAAGTGTATGACTCCGACCCGAGTCCGAATACGAGTCAGAGTAAGACAGTTTAAATGATGGGGGCGATCTCAAAATAATAGAATTATTGTAAACATTGCTCTTTAATCATTATACTATTTATTGAAAAGTTGTATTCGGCGATTGGCAAAACAATGAATACCGCAAACTTTAATTATAGCTTTAAGTGTGTAAGCCTCCCACGAGTTCCAATGACTTTATAACATTTCAATTCGCCAATAACATGTTCTAAGAGATCGGGTATTCTGCAATGAGTCTGTTGAGCCTCCTACACTTTCTCGTTCTGTGTTCCGGCTTTCTATTATCTGCTGCTTGGTGAATGTCGTGTATGACTGATGAAATAACTCAACCTCTTTCTCTTGACGAAGATCAGGATCCACCCACCCCTGCATGAGCAGTAGAGGAACCTGAACTTCAAAAAATAGATAACGGACCTGACAATGGAGATATAAATGCAGGCGATGGTACAGCGAAAGCTGAAGAAATTGCCACATGTAATGCTACACCAATAACTGTAGATAATATTTATAATGCTTTTGTTAATCTTGAAGCTCCAAGAACCCCCCCCCCCCCCCCCCAAAAAAAAAAAAAAGAAAACATAAGAAAAAAAAGAATCTTTCATGCAATTGGTTCGCATTTATTACAAAACAGGTTCCAAAATTCGTATAAAAGACTCGGGGGTTTATTCAGATTATTCTGGCACCCGTAAAACAATCATAAAGAAAACTTATAGTATTCCAAAAATAAAATAAAAGTTTTTTTACTAATAAGTAATAAGTACAATTCTTGCCAGATTTTTTTCAAATTGATATCAAAGGTGTATATCAGGAGTGTCTCGGACACTTAAAAAATAATTGCTTTTAAAAGAGATATATCTCTTGGAAATACGCATTCTATAGAAAATTGCTCATGTGTACAGTTTTTGCCAGGTGTTTATAAAATTTGATATTGCCCTTGAACAGATGAAATATGTGAAACGCGGGAGACATCGGAAATCTGTTCTTTAATTCTCATCAAAATCAATGCGCACAGGAGTATGCATTACTACGGATCGGATCCCCTTAAGTGCCTTGTAAATATTTATATTTTCGTTTGACGGAGATTTATTCTAGTGCGCACCAGTTTAAAAAATCGTGCGCACGACTTTGAAACTCGTGCACACGAATTCTAAACTGGTGTACACGACTTTTAAACTCGTGCACACGACTTTTAAACTGGTGCACACGACATTTTAAAACTCGTGCGCATAACTTTCAAACAAAGTTTAACTGACTCTTTACAAACTTGCGCACGAATTTTCAATCTGGTGCGCACCAGATTAAATTTCTGGCAAACGAAAATATTTACATTTACATAGCACTTAAGATGCTCCGTACTATTCTCCGACTATACACCGTGGACACAAATAGCCTCAAAACATTAAAAAAATAATTAAAAAAACTGAACAATAGTATTATTTGATTTTTTTTTAAACTTAAAAAGTTTTTTTTATGTAATCGGTAAACATTATCATTTAACTAATGAACAAAATATTTGTTATGGAAGTTTTTTTTAATTCTGACCATATCTGCTAGCAAGCTTAAACGAAAAAGCGCACTTTCTACCCTTCAGTGAAAAAAAGTAAATTATTTGATAAACAGTTTTGTCCTATCACCACACAAAGATTGAGCACGGTAAAATCAATGAGCGTAAACATTACTTTGAGATCACCCTTATAGCTTACATGCGTACTTGTACTCGGATTCCGAGTCTGACAGTTATTGTAAATCTCTATTAGATTCAATAAAACAAGCATAAAATGTGCTTATATGAGGGTCTGGAAGGGTGTCCTTCATTTCTTTTATCTTTAATGTCATTTTTCTCTATTCTTATTATTTTTGCCCATTATTGTCTTTTATTTATATTTTGGCACCCCATTATTCACAATTCTTTACTTTTTTCTCTATTTTTCTCTATTCTTTTTCCCATTTTTCTGTCAATTTGACCCATTATTCTCTATTCTGTAAACCCCATCCTGATCCTCTTAAATACAAAACACTATGTTGGATTAAAAGACTAAATCAAAGCAATATACTGAGGAAATAACGGGTTGTGTTAAAAGGGTCAGTTGATCTCTTTAATTTCTTCCTTTACTCTAACTTCCCTCGTATTTTGATCATAATTCCTTTTTCCCTACTCCTCCACCTTCTCCCAAATTCCTTCAATTAACATCTGTTTCACTCCAGATTTCTTCCCTTCCTACCGCCTCTGCTATCGATCATATCTTTGTATAGTATTGTATATCCCCTTCTTCCACACATAACTACAAAAAAAAATGTTTTCAGACTCTATCTAAAAATCTAAAATAGTATTTCTAAACAGATCAGAAATGTCTTGATTTAGCCCATTGCAAATATCTGGTAACAGCTCACTATCTGAATACGACTGAATGCTTAAATCTTCAGTCATTTTATATCCCATTAAATGATCTTCAATTTAAAATACATTTGTATCTATTATGTCTGTTTGTTTTGCTCACACATTAATTGTTGTCAATATAATGGAATTCTATGCGACTGTCATACAAGTCAGGAGTTTAGCTAGCTATAAAACCAGATTTAATCCACTATTTTCTATATATGGAAATGCCTGTACCAAGTCAGGAATATGACAGTTGTATTCCATTCGTATGATGTGTTTGAGCTTTTGATTTTGCCAATTGATAAGGGACGTTCCGTTTTGAATATTCCTTGGAGATCGGTATTTTTGTTATTTTACTTTTTATACGTGTTCTTATGATTTGAATTGACAGGAAATAATCAAGCACGAAACTGCTTTTTCTTACTTACTAGTATAAGTTGTGCTATTTGTGAATATGAAACATTTATCTTATGTATACATTAACTTTTTGTCAGGCTCAGCGAATTTTCAACACCTGGGTTGGAGATCCATCAAAGGTCATTTTATTAGAAGCTGTAGTTAAAGTAATCAAGGAGCAGAATTTATTGGCAAGAGTCAATGACACCGGAAAATGTTTGTTTGGTGGATTACAAGGGCTTCAGGTAAACTTGATTGGCAAATACTTCAGTTCATTTTTTACATTATTCATTTTGTAATTTGTAATATTTAAGAGGGTAATTTTGTATCCATCTTTTATTTGGATGAACAACAGTACATTGATCGTCTGTTATATATTTTGTAATGAAAATATGTTTCAGATAGAATTATACCTTTTATAAATAGATGTGCAGAATTCTTTCGTACTAACATACATATGCATGTATATGGTGATCTATTTTTATACGACCGCAAAAATTAAAAATTTTTTGGTCGTATATTGGTATGACGTTGGCGTCGTCGTCGTCGTCGTCGTCGTCGTCGTTGTCGTCGTCGTCGTCGTCGTCGTCGTCCGGCGTCGTCTGGCGTCGTCCGAAGACACATTGGTTTTCGCACTCTAACTTTAGTTTAAGTGAATGGATCTCCATGAAATTTCACCATAAGGTTCAATACCACGAAAGGAAGGTTGGGATTGATTTTGGGGGTTATGGTACCAACAGTTAAGGAATTAGGGGCCAAAAAGGGGCCAAAAATAAGCATTTTTGTAACTTTTAGACAATAACTTGTGTGTAAGTGTATGGATCTCTCTGAAATTGTACCACAAGGTTCCATATCACAAAGGGAAGGCTGTAATTGATTTTGGGGGTAATTGCCTCAAAATTTTAGGAATTAGGGGCCAAAAAAGGGGCAAAAAACAAGCATTTTTCTAGTTTCATGACAATAACTTGTGTGTAAGTGTTTGGATATTTCTGAAATTGTACTACAAGGTTCCATATCACAAAGGGAAAGCTGGAATTGAGTTTGGGGGTAATTGCCCGAAACGTTCAGGAATTGGGGGCCAAAAAGGGGCCAAAAATAACCATTTTTCTAGTTTACAGACAATAACTTGTGTTCAAGTGTATGGATCTCTCTGAAATTGTACTGCAAGGTACCATACCACAAAGGGAAGGCTGGGATTGAGTTTGGGGGTGATGAATCATAAGGGGGTTCAAAAAATTTGGGGGGGGGGATTTTTTTTTTTTTTTTTTTTTCTTTTTTTCCTTTTTTTTTCCTTTTTTCTTTTAAAATTTTCCATTTTAAGTTGGTTATTTCTGATTTATATTTAAAAGCAAATAATAATGATATGGTAGGAGATACACACCAAACAGGATGTGTAAATTATTATATAATAAGTATTGTGCAATAGCAAGAAATTTTCAATTGCACAGTATTGCACAATAGCAAGAAATCTTCAATTGCACAGTATTGCACAATAGCAAGAAATCTTCAATTGCACAGTATTGCGCAATAGCAAGAAATCTTCAATTTAACAGTATTGCGCAATAGCAAGAAATATCCAATAGCACAATATTGCGCAATAGCAAGAAATTGTCAATTGTACAGTATTGCGCAATAGCAAGAAATATTCAATTGCACAGTATTGTGCAAAAGAAGATACTTCGTATAAATTGCTTATTTCTTGATCAATTTCAATGGGGTTTTATTCTTGAATTCTTGGGGTTCTTTAATATGCTGAATCTAACCGTGTATTAAGTTTTTGGATTTTGGGCCCCGTTTTTAAATTGGTCCACATTGATGTCCAAAGGGTCCAAAATTTAACTTTGTTTGATTTCATCAAAAATTGAATTATTGGGGTTCTTTGATATGCCGAATCTAACCGTGTATTTAGATTTTTAATTTTGGGTCCCGTTTTTTAAATTGGTCTACATTAAGGTCCAAAGGGTCCAAAATTAAACTTAGTTTGATTTTAACAAAAATTGAATTCTTAGGGTTCTTTGATATGCTGAATCTAAACATGTGTTTAGATTTTAGATTTTTGGCCCAGTTTTCAAGTTGGTCCAAATTGGGGTCCAAAATTAAACTTTGTTTGATTTCAACAAAAATTGAATATATGGGGTTCTTTGATATGCTGAATCTTACCATGTATTTAGATTTTTTATTTGTGGGCCCGCTATCAAATTGGTTCATATTGAGGTCAAAAGGGTCCAAAATTAAACTTTGTTTGATTTCATCAAAAATTGAATTATTGGGGTTCTTTGATATGCCAAATCTAACCGTGTATTTAGATTTTTAATTTTGGGTCCTGTTTTTTAAATTGGTCTACATTAAGGTCCAAAGGGTCCAAAATTAAACTTAGTTTGATTTTAACAAAAATTGAATTTTTGGGATTCTTTGATATGCTGAATCTAAACATGTGTTTAGATTTTTGATTATGGGACCAGTTTTCAAGTTGGTCCAAGTTGGGGTCCAAAATTAAACTTTGTTTGATTTCAACAAATATTGAATATATGGGGTTCTTTGATATGCTGAATCTAAACATGTATTTAGATTTTAGATTTTTGGCCCAGTTTTCAAGTTGGTCCAAATTGGGGTCCAAAATTAAACTTTGTTTGATTTCAACAAAAATTGAATATATGGGGTTCTTTGATATGCTGAATCTTACCATGTATTTAGATTTTTTATTTGTGGGCCCGCTATCAAATTGGTTCATATTGAGGTCAAAAGGGTCCAAAATTAAACTTTGTTTGATTTCATCAAAAATTGAATTATTGGGGTTCTTTGATATGCCAAATCTAACCGTGTATTTAGATTTTTAATTTTGGGTACTGTTTTTTAAATTGGTCTACATTAAGGTCCAAAGGGTCCAAAATTAAACTTAGTATGATTTTAACAAAAATTGAATTATTGGGGTTCTTTGATATGCCAAATCTAACCGTGTTTTTAGATTTTTAATTTTGGGTTCTGTTTTTTAAATTTGTCTACATTAAGGTCCAAAGGGTCCAAAATTAAACTTAGTTTGATTTTAACAAAAATTGAATTCTTTGGGTACTTTGATATGCTGAATCTAAACATGTGTTTAGATTTTTGATTATGGGACCAGTTTTCAAGTTTGTCCAAGTTGGGGTCCAACATTAAACTTTGTTTGATTTCAACAAAAATTGAATATATGGGGTTCTTTGATATGCTGAATCTAACCATGTATTTTGATTTTGGACATTGGACCATAATAGGTAAATTAAAAAAATTGAAGTTCTTAGACCACTTTCTTTCTGTGTCAGAAACATATGCTGTGTCAAATATTTAATCACAATCCAAATTCAGAGCTGTATCAAGCTTGAATGTTGTGTCCATACTTGCCCCAACTGTTCAGGGTTCGACCTCTGCGGTCGTATCAAGCTGCGCCCAGCGAAGCATTTTATTACATATTAGTAGACTTTTTATATGAAAAATTTACTTTTGTTGATACTTACTTTACAGACACAATATCCTAATTTACTGAGCAGACTCCGAGGTCTTGGTTGTTATGGATCTATTGATTTGCCGTCAATGGAAATACGTGACAAAGTAATTTCAAAACTCAGAGCTAAAGGTAAGGCCAAAACAAAGATACCAAGCTTTTTTTCTACGCCAGTCTTTGAAAGGTAAAAGGCAAAATCAAGTACGAAGTTGAAGTTTAGAACCGAAATTCCGAAAGGTTTTGCTTAATACAGCTGAGGTAATATAGGTAAATGAAATAGACATTATAATTATCAACTTTGTTACTTAGCAGACACATACTCCATTTATTTGTCATTAAATGAAGTGATGTATCTACATGGAGCAAGGGTTTGATATAAAGTACATTTGCTGGCTTTCAAATGTTTAGTTTGAGCTTTAATAATGAAGGTAAACCCTGAAAAGCGTACTTGCATTTGCTAAACATCATTGGGAAACATTTCATGAACAATCGCTGAAGTTGAAGAAAGCAAAGGAATATTTGAAATTCAAACATTGTAGCAAAAATTATGACAGTCGCCTTTACATGTTTACCTGTAATATTCTATGTCTACAAGAATTGCATAAAATGATTCTTGCTACATGCATTTCTGGATTCAGAGTTATAGATACACTTATAAAATTATAATTTCAGTAGTGTTTTTCTACAGAATAAGAGAGGAATTGTTTTTCTACAGAATAAGAGAGGAATTGTTTTTCAAACTTTATTTTATGAATTCATATTCATGTGCCTTTATAACAAGTCAATATAATATATAATAATAAGTTTCTGATGCTGTTCTTTACTTCTGTTGTTTTATGTTCAGGAGTAAATACTGGTGGCTGTGGAGAGAAATCTATAAGATTTAGACCAACTCTTACCTTGGAGAAACACCATGTTGATATTTTCCTTGACAAATTCAATTCGGTTTTGCACGAAGTTGATTCTTCACAAGAAAAATGTGAAAGAGCTAAAGCTTAGAAAGGACTTGGTGTTTTAACATACCTTTAAGGAAGTTTTGTGAAGGTACATTGTTTGTCCTAAAACAAGGATTATACACCAGTCACCACAATTAAACAAATTGTAATGTGAACCAGTCATTTTTATCTTAATATCATCTAAATAGTCGGATTTTTTTTATTATGCCATGTTTACCCTTTCAATCAATTTCCAGACTTAGACACTTCGGTAAATTCAGTACTGGTCAGACAATTCGCTTGCAGTCAATTTAGTACTGTTTAGTACTTTTCATACCATTCAGTATAGTATGTTGTGTGCTCTGTACAGGTAAATAACAACTACTGAACAGTCTGAACAAAGACTAAATAGATCTTAATTGAATGCAAGCGAATTGTCTTAACAGTACTATATTAACTGCAGTGGATAAATCTGAAAAGTGACTGAAAAACTGGAAATGACTTAACATTTTATTGTTCAATCTTTATAAGAGCTGTTTAAGATCAAAATAACCGTTTCAGACAAAATGTTGTTTACTAGTGCACTATTGGCAGGAAAAAGTGATGAAGCTGATGTTTTGACTCAGTTTTCAGTTTTGTAATATAACATTTCATATTGAAATATTTCTAATGTGAATGTATAAATGTGTATTGAGATAATCAGTGGTCAACACATTTTTTTTTGTGTATAATTGAAGTTAAAATGTGTTTTGTTTATGTAAAGATTACTGTGTATATCTGAAAATAAACAATATTGCCCTTGCTTTAGTGGTTGTTCTACTCAAGTGTGTGTTATCTTTTATTCTATTTTTGTGTGTTTGCACGTTGTTAGTTTTGTTTCTAGTTCGAGTATATTCTTCTCATTTTATAATATTATAATTATTTTAAGATTTATATGTGTGTTAGTTATTGAGATTTTTTTAGTAGCGGGCTTGTTATTCTTGATTTAAGATATAGATGTGTACTCATTTTTTTCAAACATTAAAACTATAACATATACTGTATACATTGTATACGTCTTCCCTATGCCCAACATATTGTAAATCATACTATATGATGACAAAAAATAATATTCACAATATGCTATCTTTTAACGTATACTTTAAGATGATTTTTTGGGAGGGGGATAGCCTATGTCCGACAATTTGCACATCTTTCAGTTGTGACATCATACATCATAATTTGGCCCTTTACTCCAGAAATTTTTACTTAAGTATGAAATCAATTTTCTGCAAAAAGCAAAAGGTTTACTACAAGGAATTATTTGAATCTAGAATAATTTTGAATTCAGGAAAATTGATAAGAAATGTATGATGAAAAACTAACCCAATTAAGGAGGGTAAGCCATGCATGCATGGCTAAGGGGGCTTGTTAGTTCATAATGAAATATCAGTGAAAGTAACCTGAACCTTAGCCATGCACGCATGGCTATCCCACTAAAGTTTGGTTAGTTTTCATCATACATTTCTTAACAATTTTCCAGAATTCAAAATTATTCCAGATTCAAATTATTCCGTGTTATAAGCATTTTGTGAATATGAAATTGTTCACTTCCCTTTTGTGAACTCGGATCATCATTATCGTAATGTTTTCTTGTTTTACGGTTAGGTTGTTGCTTGTGTTTTTTAAAAGCTTTAGAAACAGTGTAAGGAAATTTTGTTTTGTTTCATTTGTTTTATGATCAAGAAAACTGACCTTATTATGGAACATATTTTTTACTTCCTCTAAACTCATTTTAAACATTGTTTGATTTCTAGGTCATTAATACATGTTTTGTTTTTGTTGAAATTACAATTCAATCTTAAGAATCATTGCAAGTGCTGGAATAATATGTCAAAGAAAATATTGAGCATACGGAGAACAGAACAGGAAATACTTGACTTTTAAGAAATCTCAGGATACCACGGTATACATGTTTTGGTGCTGCATAATGTTACCATTAAATAGAAAAATACTCATTTTGAGCTGTTTTCAGTGGTCACATGTGATACTAAAACAGCAATGGAAATTGTTGTTGTATGAATGGTTTTTTATGTAAGGATTATAAATACTAATTTTATGATAAACTGACTATTTTACAAACATTTCTCAATGCTTTACTTGTATGGATAATCTACATATGAATTTTGAAAAGTCACGAATGTACATAGTGAAACGTTTATTATGAATAAAGATTCATGTAAAAAAGAATATAGTCTTTATTTTTATGGAACATTGCTGTAGAAGAAGTTAAATTAAGGTAGATTCACATCTTGGATTGTACAATAGCAGTACACAATCGGTCTAGTTCTTTGCCTATATCTGCAATTTTGAGACAGATTTGCAATTTATGTGTAAGACTGTTTATTTGTTTAAAGAAAAATAAGTAATTTATTGCATTATCCAAAATGTTTTAACAAATACCAATTTTTAAATGTTTTTACAATCAATTTTTCAACTAAGCCATTTAAGGGGAAATAAATCTTATAGTAAAATTTTTATACTGGAATGATAGTGAAATTTTTATTTTTTACTTGCAGCAAGAAAACAAGTTTGGTGACACTTATTTTTATTTTTATTTTCTAAAGGCATATTATAAAACCTATCTTCTCATATTTTATTTCAAAATTCTATCTCGTAGATTTCTTTTTATTCACAAAAATGTGTTTTTTCATGAGCAATCTATGCAAATTTGGGCAATTTTACACGACTTGTAACATGTAAAATAGCACGGTGACCCATACTTTTTATTATATTTTTGAAAAAAGCATAGTAAAATCTTCATTTTAGCAGAGTATAAGAAAATTCTATCTGAGGAAATATATACCAATGATCCACCATAAGTAGATGTATATTGAAAACATACAAAAAAAGAAAGCTAGGTTATTGTCAACATTGTTGGTATCTTGGAAATTATCATAAAGAAGTCTTTTACAATCACAAAACATTCTCAAATGCATACTCTGTGGAAAGTCAATTTCAAATTCGAACTTGTTTTGTTTACAACATAAAAACGAGTGTTAATATAGTTGATAGAAATTATTCAATCCTTGTCACTTATTACTGTGCATAGTATTCATCCTGACATTATAAGTCCCCTACCGACGATTTCATATTTGGTGTATTGTTTAATCATGACAAGTTACAGATCAAGTTCGAATTTTGTTCTAGTCTGACGAATTTGTGCAGAGTTATGGTCCTTGTACTTAGAAAATTCACTCAAATAATCAGTTTTCCTCCATTTTTTCCGTCATGCTTGAAGATATTCGCGAGTTTACAATGCAATGTTCAATATAAATTACATTTCAACGACTTAATTCTGTGAAAAAAAAATGATAAGTTCTGATTCTCGAACTCTTCCCAGACATTGCTGATATAAGCCTTTGGTGTTAATTAATTTGATTTGATCAGCTCTTCCACTTTTGTATAAGTTTCGGTTTTTCAAATAGTTTGGCCTGTAACATCACTGAAGAGACATTTATTGTCGAAATGCGCATCTAGTGGAATAAAATTGCATGGTACCATTAATTAGCAATCCTAAAACAAATTTATGTTTGCCTACAATGCAACTTATATTTCAAAGTGGCATAATTCCCTTAAAAATATTTGATCACACTGATTTTCGAACTTGTCCTAGACATTGGTGATATCAACTGTTAATTCACCTTTTTAAACAATTTGGCAAGAATTGTTCACTTTATAGCATCAATGAAATTCCCTACAGAATTTACATATCCGAGGGATGCAACTAAAGTAAAAATAAATGATCAACACTGATTTTCGAACTTGTCTCAAATATTGCTAATATAAACTTTTGTTATAAATTTTATAACAATCCTACAAGAAATGTACGCTTGAGCACACTTACAAATCAATATTCCAACAAAAATATATTTCCAAAAGGCATAACTCCGATGAAAATAGCACTGATCTTTGAACATAACCGAAACATTGTTGATATAAACTATAAACATATGATATAAATTTTATAATAAAACTGATAGAATTGTACGCATGAGACCGCTTATAAGACAGACAGTAAGGACCATATTCAACATTAAGTCCATAAATATTGTTTCAAGATGAAAAGTGTTTTAGTTGATGAAAAGACATATAAGAATGTAAAATTAAACCATTTTTCAGAGCTTTTCTTATTACAAGTATAAAGCATTCATTTACACCCAATTTGTGCTTTTTGTGATGTCATGGAAAAAGCGCTGATTTGTAATTTTTCAACAGCTTTACTATCTTGTTTTAGCTATGATTAATTGTTATACTGGTCAAAATCCCAATTTGAAATCTTATCAAGAAAAAGGGGCCATATTGGGGTCTAACAAAACCTAATACTTTTGTAACCGACATGGTTAGAAAATACAATTAATTACACCATTACTAACACAATTCTATATTAATATTCTTATAATTGTTAGAAAATACATCAATTAAAACCATTACAAACTTAATCCCGATTTTATATTCATTTTTTAGAAATTTACCTGTGACGTCACTTTTTGTGGCGTTGATACATTCGTGTGAAGCATAGTTCGTAATTCTATTATGCTGTATTTGTGTACTGTCGTAAATTAATCTTAGGTGTTCGTTGTTATTCTGTGGTTTACATGTCGAAATGTACTATTATATTATTTATTTATGTATTATTCTGTCCTGAGTATTCTTGCATTTATTTGTACTGTATTCCTGTCACGTAGTGTTGTTATTTTAACAGTATTTTTAACATTGCCATATAAGCGGGAGGTTTGGCTAGCCATAAACCAGGTTCAACCCACCATTTTTTCTTAAAATGTCCTGTACCAAGTCACGAATATGGCAGTTGTTATCAAATAGTTCGTTTCTATGCATTGGCGTTTGTGTTTGTTGCACTTCAGTGTTTCTGTTATTCCGTTGTTTTCCTCTTATAGTTGATGTGTTTCCTTCGGTTTTAGTTTGTAACCCGGATTTGTTTTCGCTCAATCGATTTATGACTTTTGAACAGGGGTATACTACTGTTGCCTTTGTTTGTATGGAGCGCTTTTCTTGATTTATTTTCATCAGGAAGACGCAAACCAAACCATTTGAAAGCCAGAGATTTATAAATATGTAGAAATGTAGGTAGCTATAGAACCGAAAGGAACCTAAAATGTGTTGCCAAATTCATCCGAGTCAATTTTGCCTGGGGAAGTTTTTAAAATTTTTCTTAATTTTTCAACGAGGAATTTTACAATATAGTGAAGGTTATAAATCATGTCAGTAACTACTGAGCTGATGATTTTCTCTGTTAATAACAGTCCAACAACAGCAATGATATCTACCATTGGCAAGATTAGTGCTAGTAATAATGAAAATAACACTCTAAAAATTCATGTGTTCGAAGCGCTTTTCTGGATTCAACTAAGGACAACTTTACCACAGGAAGTTGGAACCTTAATTTATTAAATAAAATTCTGATTTTGTCAACAGGGACTTTTTACAAAAGTATGCTATAAATCATGTCAGTACCAAAGCACTGCTACTGAATCAATGATACCCTCTGTGACTAACAGTCCACTAGCAGTGGTATTGTCCCATGGCAAGTAATTAATAATTTCAGGGATGTTGACTGGTAAATTTCTCCATGTTCAGCTGATAATTTCAGCAATTTATAGTTTCTCTGCATCTACAATAGTTCACGCAAAAAAAACCCAAAATGGTTAAAAACCATCAATGTTTCCTACTAGGAGTCGACCGACACTTTCGACCATATTGACTTAAAAAGTAAATTTTGTCCTGATGGTCAATTTTGCTATATACAGTTTCTTTCAATCCACCAGTTTCTGCTTAAAACAAAAATTTCGGGAATCAACAGACTTTTTGGTCACGTTGACTTATTTTTAGATATTGTCCTGCTGTTCATTTTTGCTTCTTACAGTTTCTCTTCATTTTCTACAGTTTATGTAAATAACAGAAATAACATTAATGTACCAATTTTACTGCACCAGATGCGCATTTTGACAATGTCTCTTCAGTGATGCTCGAGCCCATAATATTTGAAAAACCAAAACTGGTAAAAATGTTGACAAGGACAATAACTCCTGTAAGGAGTCAACTGAAAATATCAGCCATTTTGCCTGAATAGTAGAATTCGTCCTGCTGGTCATTTTTGCCAAATATGGTTTCTATCTTTCTGCTATAGTTTCCTCAAAATAACAAAAAAAAAATTTTCTTATTTTTTATATTTCAAGGGCAATAACTCCTATAAGGATGGGACTGTCAATTTCGACCAGTTGAATTATTTGTAGATGTTGTCCTGCATATCATTTCTGGAAAAAGAACAAAACAAATTTGGTAAAAAATTTCTCATCATTGAAAGCCTTACTGACCTAATTGCTAATCTTCTAAGTCATTTGGTTTCTGGTGGAGAGTTATCTCATTGGCAATCATACATCATTCTCTTTTTTGAGGGCAACAACTCCTACAAGGAGTCAACAGATTCAGCCATAATAATTTATTTGTAGATCATGTCTTGTATTTATTAGAGTTTTAAAGATAAAAGCCAAAATCGTAAAAAATGGTGAACAATCATCATTTAGGTGCCATAACTCTTAGAGGCAGTCATCGTACAGTTTTGGTCTAAATAAAGGGTAGGTAGATCGTGACATTTTGAAATCTTCTGCCCTGTAAGATTTCCTCCATCTAAAAAATTTTACCGTATAATAGAATACAACTGCATACTAAATATCATTGACCTACCACTAGTGGTTCCTCATAAACTGACCTAATCACAAACTAATACATGCAAACTTACCAAAAGTTTCAATGTCAATAGACCATGACTGAAGGGAAAACCAAATAATCTCCATGAAAATGAGATGTGCCAATGCTTATACAACTGCATACCAAATATCATTGACCTACAACTAGTGGTTCCCCATAAACTGACCTAATCACAAACTAATACATTGTTGATGCCGCAGTCAGAAACAGCATACCTATGTCTCGCTTTTTGACTCCTTCAAGACAAGACAAACTAGAGGCTCTAAAGAGCCTGTGTCGCTCACATTGGTCTATGTGTATATTCAACAAAGGACACTTTCCAACATTGTAGATGACAATAGAATTCATGACAAAAATCTCTGTTTTGTTTATCTTGTATTGCTGATCATTTAGTCTGTTTAGTTTCTATCTATCTTCTTTAGTTTTTGTTCAAAACACAAAAGAGGGTAAACAAGCATTCTAAGAGTATTGCATGGCAATACATAGTCCCCTACCGGTTAAAAATTCATTGTACTGGAACAAAATGCTAATATGATCTGTATCTTAACATGGTATAAATTATATAACAAATATTAGGTCAATATCTTCAAGCATGACGAAAAAAAATGTGTGGAAAACTGATTATTTGAGAGAATTTTCCAAGTCCAATGGACAATTACTCTGCACAAAATCATCAGATCGGAACAAAATTCTAACTTGATCTGTAACTTGTCATGTTAAAAATTATATACCAATTATCAAATCAATATCTTCAAGCATGACGAAAAAAAGGGTGGAAACTGATTATTTGAGTGAATTTTGTAAGTTCAAGGACCATAACTCTGCACAAAATCATTAGACCAGCAAAAAGTTTGAACTTGATCTGTAACTTGTCATAATAAAATTATATACCAATTATCAAATCAATATCTTCAGGCATGATGAAAAAAAATGTGGATAACAGGTTATTTGAGTGAATTTATTAAGCCCAAGAACCATAACTCTGGACAAAATCATTAGACCGAAACAAAATTCAAACTTGATCTGTAACTTGTCATGATAAAACTATATTCCAAATATGAAATCAATATCTTGAAGCATGAAGAAAAAAAGTGTGGAAAACTGATTTGCCAGACTGATGGACAGACAGACAGACAGACGGACAGAGTGCAAACCTAAACTCCCCTTCGACTTTGTTGGTAGGGGACTAAAAATATCTTCATTTAAGGGCAATCACTCCTATGAAGAATGACAGTCTACTAACTATATCAGCAAATTTGACTTGTTTGTAGATCTTGACTTGCTGATAATTTTTGTGATTTAAAGTGTCTATTTATCTATTATAATTTTTATTATATAAGGCAAAACGCAAAAAAAATATATGATGAAAATCGTCATTAAAGGGCAATAACTCCAACAAGGATTCAGAAGATGATTTCCTCCATATTATCTTAATTGTAGATCTTGTTTTGCTGATCTTTTTTGCTTATTTAAGTCTCTATCTATCTATTATAATTTTTAAGATATAAAGCAAAAACGCAAATAATTGGTAAAAATCTTCATCAAAGTACCAAGTTTTAATCCATTTGACCTAGTAATTTCAGAGGAGAAGTTAACTTATCTTTTTTCCTATACACTTCTAGTAACATCATTGGTCAAAAGCAAACATAATATTAGGTCAGTGAGCATGTTTTAATTTAAATACACAGTCAGTGGGCATGGATTAAATACATGGTTAGCAGTAGAGTTATGTTCCTTTTAAAAAACAAAACAGTGCTGTTCTCAAATTACCATACATTGTAAACATACATAATGATAATTTTTTTCATGCTTTTAGACAAAAACATATCTTAGAGACGCTGACTTTCTCACTGTAACTAATTAAACATTCTGTGTAATGTTGTGTTGAAATTGTGATATTAAGGTTAACTACGTCTAAATTCCTGATATTAAGATAGTCGGTAAGACAACTTTGGTACACAGTGTTTTATTGACATAATATGATATAAAAGAGTCAGTACATCCCATTTGGGCCTCACGCCTCATTTGAATTAACTGACCCCATATATATCATATTAGGTCACTAGCACACTGTGTAACTAATAAGAGGACGACGACGGATTACAACAGATGACAGATGCCAAATGATGAGAATAAACCTTATAAATTTTGTGTCTTCAAAATACTGGGTTTATCTCAGGTGAACTTTGCCAGAGGGAGTTGGAACCCTAGTTTTTCCTAATTTGCCAACAGGGAAATTTTACAATAGGTTATATATAAATCATGTCAGTTCAGATACCATCTTAGATTAAAATTCTACTGGCAGTGGTATCGAACTAGTGATAGGAAATGAAAGTAACACTTTAAAAATTTCTTGCATTCGATAGCACTTTTTTTGATTTATAACATATGTTGTCTGCATATTATGATTCAAATACTACATTTTGTTGCTGAAGCAAAATGAATGAAATCTGTAATTACATTCATCAGGTAATATAAAAAAGAAGATGTGGTATGATTGCCAATGAAGTCTGTTAAGTTCATTATTATGCTAGTATACATGAAAACACTCGCAGGAATACATAATTACTGGTCAGTATGGTACTACATTTTGGTTAAGGACTGAATAGATACTGTAAATTCAGAAGTTATTGCTATGTTTTTATTAATGTGAATAATGCGCATCGGTGAGATATGCATTCTGATATGTGATATATATATATATATATATCTGTATAAATCTTTTCCAAAAATCAAAGTAATTAATCTTGCATTTTCATCCATTCTGCAAAAATCATAATAATAAATGCACGGAATAACTTCTGAAGTTACAGTACAACTTTGTTGTTGAAAATTACGTTTAAAATGCGACACTTGTTGAATATTGTTTTTAAAGTTTGGTTGGTTAATGTTAAGTTGTTTGAGTTTGGGATAAGAGAAAGGTAGGAATAGGAACATTAAATAACACCTGGATGAAGACCCAACACATAAGCCTACGAGGTAAATAAATATAAAGGCAGTTAATTTTTAAAAATATTTATTCAATTAAATTCTCATTTTACCTGACTGTCCAAAAGGAAAATACTCACTCAAAATTATAAATAATGATGGATGCTTTATGTTTGGTTGTTTTTTTTTTACAAAATTATGACTCAACTGTCACTGCTGTAGGGGAGTTAACTCTAGGTTCCACTACAGGTTGAATATTGTCATTTGTAATTGACACGTCGTTTGTGATAGACACATCACGTTTTGACTTTTTGCTAGCTTTCTGTGGTTCATTAGCTGGGTTGACCTGATGATTTGCTTCTAATGCCTTTTTCTGTGCTCGCTGCTGCCGCGTATTTTGTGCCACCGCACTAACATGAGGATGTAATTTTATGATGGAGCCGATAGCTTTTGTTCTTCCTTCACGAAACACCATTTTCATGTCTGTCTTCAGATATTCAGGATTTTTAATGAACCTAAATCTCACATTAGCTTTATCCCCTGTCCTTAAATGTTCCTTTGTCATATGAACAATTGTTGCTGTCTGTCTTACACTTCCCACATGCACTGAGAATAGAAGAAAAATAATTACATGGTATATATTTTAAAACAAGAATGTGTCCATAGTACACGGATACCCTAATCACACTATCATTTTCTATGTTCAGTGGACCGTGAAATTGGGGTCAAAACTCTAATTTGGCACTAAAATTAGAAAGATCATATCATAGGGAAAATGTGTACTAAGTTTCAAGTTGATTGAACTTCAACTTCATCAAAAACTACCTTGACCAAAAACTTTAACCTGAAGCGGGACATATGGACGAACGGACGGACAAATGGATACACAGACCGAAAAACATAATGCCCCTAGGTGGTGCATAAAAATGCAACAATAATAATTGTGTTTTTTAGAATTGAGACTTAGTTCTTCAAGTCATATAAAAGAAGAATGACTTAGAGAAAGTCTGTGACTATGAACTGAAGATAATTTGGTCTTGGTTTTGTCTCCTTCTTTCTAAATTGCACTTTTTGTATGTAACAAGGTGTCGAAATATCACGAAATTGGTCAAAAATTATCTGAGAAATCTAAGAGAAATATTGAACAGATAATGATGATATCATGCTATCTACATTGATATTTCATTTCATGTGGAGAGTTGACAGCTAATTTAACATATTTAACTCTGCCACATTCTATATTTGCCTAACCAAAGCCAGAAGCCTGTAGCCCAATGGATGATGTGTGTTGCCTTATTCCATAATTAATTTGAATTTAATGTTTTTAGTCTATTTCAGGCTAATAGTTTTTTTTTTATAACTTTTTCATATTTTTCTTTTATCCAGAGGCCTTTCGTAGCTTACAATGAGTCAGGGGTATCACCTACAAAATTGATTTCAGGATCACCTTCGTAAGTTATTACGGCATTAAAAAATTGAAATTATTTACAGAATATTACGCAGAATAAGTAATTTTAGAATTAAGAATTTAAGCATTCTTGATTTTTAATAAAGTATGCAATTTTGAGAAAGTAATGTAATTCATTTGTAAGACTTTTCATCTAAATAAAATGAAGAAAACTATGTGTTTATCTTTTAATTACGACTGACTTTACAAATACAGATTTTTTTTTAATTTGATTTTTTTTCCCAACTTAGCCTATAAGGGGAGAAAACTAGGTTTATCGTACTTTTATAAAGGAATGTGTTGTAAAATAACCCATTTTGTTTTGTAGCGAGATAACCAGTCACATGAGCTCAACTTTTATTTCTATTTTCTGAAATCACATTATAAGAAATATATTCTCATATTTTATCTTTTTTTATGTAAAATAAAATTATACAAAATCTGACAATTTTGCACAACCTGAAGCTTGAAAAAAAGTCCCTTGACCCATTCTTTTTATTACAATTTTGAAATAAATGTGGATAGTGTCCACATGTGGACACAGATGATGCCCCCGCTTGCATATCATATAGTTATAAAGGGACATAACTGAAGAACGGTAAAAGTGACACTACCCAAATTTGAACTTGATCTTAGTTTTGTGGTAATAAGCATTGTGTGTAAGTCTCATAACATTTGGTTTAGGCTAACTTAAGTAGAGAACAGAAACTAAAAATTCAGCAATTTTTCTATTTGTAAACATGCATAACTCTAGAACAGTTGTGTATAAGTTTTATAACATTAAGTTGAAACAAACTAAAAAATTCAGCAATTTTTATGTTTATAAAGGGACATAACTCAAGAATGGTAAAAGTGTCGCCACCTTATTTCGTACTTAATCTGTACTATGTAGTAATAAGCATTGTGTATAAGTTTCATAACAGTTGGTTGAGGCAAACTAAAGTTAGAAAACGGAAACAAAAAATTTGTACTTGATCTTAGTTTTGTGGTAATGAATATTGTGTATAGGTTTCATAATGTTTGGTTGGGGCAAACTAAAGTAACAGAATGGAAACTAAAAATTTTGCAATCTTTCGATTTATAAAGGGCATACCTCAATAATGGTTAAAGTGACACTACCCAAATTCAACTTGATCTGTGTTTTATCAGTGGAAGTCAAAATTAAACATTGCATTGTATAAAGCATTGATTGTAGTTGATTCAACTATAATCATGGACAAAGGAAGATAACTCCAATTTTAATATAAATTACTTGATATTTACAAGAAAATAAAAATTTTGCAATTTTTCCATTTATAAAGGGGTATAACTCTAGAACGGTTAAAGTGACGCTACCAAAATTCAAACATGATCTGTGTTTTGTGGTAATAAGCATTGTGTATAAGTTTCATAACATTTGGTTGAGGCAAACTTAAGTTAGAGAACGGAAACTAAAAATTTTGCAATTTTTCCATTTATAAAGGGGCATAGCTCTAGAACGGTTAAAGTGACGCCACCAAAATGCAAACTTGATCTGTGTTTTGGGGTAATAAGCACTGTGTATAAGTTTCATAACATTTGGTTGAGGCAAACTTAAGTTAGAGAATGGAAACTAAAAATTTTGCAATTATTCCATTTATAAAGGCGCATAACTCTAGAACGGTTACAGTGACGCCACCAAAATTCAAACTTGATCTGTGTTTTGTGGTAATAAGCATTGTGTATAAGTTTCATAACATTTGGTTGAGGCAAACTCAAGTTAGAGAACGGAAACCAATTTTGGGATGTACGGACGGACGTACGTACGTACGTACGTACGTACGTTCGTACGTACAGACGGACAAGGGTAAAACTTAATGCCCCCACCGCTACGGCGGGGGCATAAAAAGTATAATGTAAACTACATTTTGACAAATTATTAAAATATTCTATCAATTCAAATTTAAACAATGTGCCTTTCAGTTTTATACTGATAGTTCAATTAATCATACACTGGCATAATTTGTTAATCAGGACAAAACCTTGAAGTTAACCATTCTTAAAATAAAGAAGTCAAATCAGGTAACTTAAAATTGTTGACCCCTGTCTTAGTGATGGAGTAGCTAATGAAATTTTGTATTTGGTGGAAAATTCATCAAATCTGTATTTGAAGATCAAAGGAAACATCAAAATTGCTTCAACAGGTGATTACTGAAATTGGTGGAAAATTCATCAAATCTGTATTTGAAGATCAAAGGAAACATCAAAATTGCTTCAATACGTGATTACTGAAATCAATGATACTAAAATCACTTATTAAATTAGTACCCCTGGCTGTATAAGGTATGGGTTTGGCTAATTGTAAAAGGTGGTATTGTGACCTGTAGATGTTCACATTATCGTCCTTTGGTCTATAGTGGATATTTGGCAATCTAACCACATCTCATTATTCATATATGTTTTGAGCAATAACACTGTATATTTCTATGTTAAATGTGAACAGCAAAAATTGTGATACATGTCAATGAGAAAGCTACATAGGAACACAAAAAATCAACAGACATCTTAAGGTCACCATTTTCAATATTAAAGCCATTAATATAAATTCAGAAATTATTGCCTGCATTTATCATTGCAATTTTTGAAGAATGGACAAAAATGTGAGATTGATTATTGCAATTTCTGGAAAAGCTGCATACAGATATGTGTATCAGATATCAGAATGTGAGTTCTTACTATTGCAATACTCAACCAATCGATTATTCACATTCATTAAAACCTTGCAATAATTTCTGAATTTACACTATTCAAAATAAATGGAGAATGTGTCCAATGGACACAGTTGATGCCCCTGCTTGCATATTACCTTATAAAGGGGCATAACTCCAGAACAGTAAAAGTGATGCCTTCCAAATTTGAACTTGATCTGAGTTTTGTGGTAATATAGTGTGTATAAGTATCATATCATTTGGTTGAGGCAAACTAAATATTTTTGGGGCCCTTTATAGCTTGCTGTTCGGTGTGAGCCAATGCTCCGTGTTGAAGGCCGTACTTTGACCTACTATAGTTTACTTTTACAAATTGTGACTTGAATGGAGAGTTGTCTCATTGGCACTCATACCACATCTTCTTATATCTATAGAGAATGGAAACCAATTTGGGACGTACTTATGGACGGACAAAGGAAAACCTTAATGCCTCCTCGGCTACGATGTGGGCATAAAAACATAATAAAATACATACCCATTGCCTGGTATCTGACACTTATTGTAGTTGGATGATGCAATACCAATACTTCAGATTCAAACTCCCAGCATGCTTTAGGTTCTATTTTTGGTGATACCATTACCATACCTTTTCTAATTGTTGATCTTTTAATCTAATAAAATAGTTTATAAAGGATAGAATTTAGAAAGAATTGCATGATAGATGTTTGTTAAATCATATAGTAATAAACTTCAATACCCTACCTGTTTCAATCCTTTAAATATGCTATAAACATCAATTGTTAAAGTTTTGAATCACAACTTGATTCATCAAACAATATCTATGGAACAATGAGAAATTTATCTTTTTCTTCAAGAATCAATCGTCTTAAATCTAAAAAAAAAATCTCCACAACATAATACAGTTCAACAGAATAATAAAATGGAAAGGATAGGGTGTGGCAACTTCTGATAAGGGCATAATTCTCTAATATGATTGATTGATTGTTTGTTACTTATTCAAGTGGCAAATACTTCATGCATGTTCAGGAGGAGTACAAATTAACAATAAATACAATAATAAGGTCCTGTAATAAATGCCCTTCCAGGATGAAGATCGAGGAAATTTTGACTGCCACTGGGAAATGAGGGTATATGCCATATGGACAGAAATTTTGCCTAGTAACAGGCCACCTACATACCCCTCAAAGAATTGTTGCAAGGATTCTTAACATGCAGAGTGTAGTACTCTCTCTACACCTGGCATCAGATTGGCTGCAAATTTGTACATTCCTCACAGTCAAATGGACACCCCACTTTTGCAAGTGTTTTAATGCCAGTCGGAAAAAAATCAGCCAAAAAAGATAAACCCATCTTTACTTAATGATAAACAATGTGTGAAATTCATTGAATTCCACAGGGTACTGGAAAAGAATTGGCCTGCTTAAAAAATTGTTGACAGATGGACAGACAAGTGGAAACTATAGGCCTCTCTTTGATGCAGGGGCTTTAATCATGTCATGGTATTATTATACCTAAAAGATCTGAATCAATAAAAGAACAGAGTTCCAATGTCCCCCATGTTGCACATATTTTATCTATCCAAGGTACAAGGGCAAAAACTAAAAAAAGCACTTTTTTTTGTTCTTTAATACTTTTTATTAATATCTTAAGAGAAATGAATGAATCATAGCAAATGCAATGTGATTTCTATTATAATTTATATTCTCAAGGGACATAACTAGTTAAAAATATTTGACCAGAACTTATTTTCGAAAGTGTCAAAGACATTGCTTATTTAAACCTATGATATAAGTTTCATAATATTCTGGCAAGAATTAAACACATGAGAGCGATAACATTGCAATTTTCCATATAATCAATATTTTCAAGGGAGTAACTCTTTTAAAAATATTGATCGGCACTGATTTTTTAACTCTTCAAGAACATTGATGATATAATCCTATAAGATAAATTTCATAAAAATCTGGAAAGAATTGTACACATTAGAGCACTCATAAGGCAATTTTCCATATAATTAATATTTCCAAGGGGCATAACTCTTTTAAAAATAATTGGTCAGCACTGACTTTCGAACTCGTCCAAGACATTGCTGATATAAACCTATGATATAAGTTTCATAAAAATCTGGCAAGAGTTGTACATGTGAGACGCTAATAAGACCAGACAGACGGACGCACATACGGATGGATGACTGGTATTTCCATATCCCCGTAACTACTTTACGCGGGGAACAATAACCATAATATTGAAAGAACTCCGATTAAAAATGTACCTCTCCATCATTTCAATACAAATAAAGAAGTAAAACAAACCTTTTTAAGAGCAAATGAAGCAGTTTGTCCACCTCTGACTTCTTTGACCGGCATTCGTTTCCTATGTATACTTTTAACAGCTATTGGTTGGAAGTTTCCTAAGGCATCTGGCCCTAACATAAGTACATCGTTGATCCTTATACTGCCTTGTAATAGAGTCCCTGATACAACAGTCCCTACACCCTATCAATAAAATAAACAGTTTCTACACACCATCAATATATAGCAATAACGAAATGTAATTGTCTCAATGTTGATGTTAAAAGTGGATGTCAATTTGTCGAGGAACATTTCTGGTTTATTGGATTATTTGTACGAGTTCAGAATGGTAAAATAGCAACGAGTATTGCGAGTCATTGTTTTTTACGATTTTTTTTTTCCAGTCCAAGTGGGAGTACCACTAAATTTATTGAGACAGTGTTTTTGCAATGATCCACCTAGCTAGTAAACCAGCAAACTTAACTTCATCATTTTCAGGCAAATAAGTATGGTGTAATGCAATTGTATGCTGAAATATGACTGGTTAATTTCCCAATACAGCAACCAATAAAGTTCCATAATACAACTTTGATTCTCTGTATATTCGTTCAAAGGTGAGGAGCCAAATTCATAGAGATATGAATTTTATCACTTTAATTCATCATTCATAAAATTATCGTTTATAATGCATGTCTTACCGGCACAGAAAATGTATCATCTATCTGGAACTCTGCTGGTGCTGCTGGTAGACTTTTTAATCGTGTTGATAGAAGGTTCATAAATGTTTGTAGCAGTGGTAAGTTTTCTCCACTCACATTGGACACTTGAAAAATTGGACACATTCTAAAATACAAATCTATTCAGTCAAAAGAATATCAATATGAGTTATTGCCATAACTACAGAAATTAACTGGTACCATCACATATTAGTAAACCGGTTACTAAAGTTGACTGTGTCACCCAAGGACAACAGACAGACTATCTTCCCAGTGTAAATCTGAGCACAACTCACTAAATGCTTATACCAGGTGCCAATATGACCAGTGCTAAAAAAGACCAGAATATTCTGATCGGTGGAACTAATTGCCTGGTTTATTTAGTTTGTACCTATCTTTGATTTTATTCAGTTGTCTGGTTTTTTTTTATTATCTTTGAGGTTTTAATTTCCTCTTTCCGTTGTGGATTCAGGAATCTTTTTTTCTTGTTAATCTATGATCTTTATCATTTGGGTTTTAATTTCCTCCTTCCGATGTGGATTCAGGAATCTTTTTTCTTGTTAATCTAAGACGCTGTTAGTTCATGTGTGATATACAGTATTTTTAAGTTTTTCAAAAAACATTTGTTAGTATTTTTCTTACCTTTCAGAAGTAAAATTCATTGCTGAAACGATCACATCGTCCTGGTTCTGGACCATAACAGGAATTTTCCTACAACCCGGTGACTTCAGAATTCTTGTTAATAATTTTAAGGTTTCTGCAAGGACATTTGGAGGACACATATCAATTTTTGTAACAACAACAAACACAGGAACATTTAATGCCAGAGCCAATCCCAAGTGTTCTTTGGTCATACCGATAACACCTGCATTTGATCCAACCTGGAATACAAAGGATATAAATTAGTAGATTTAAACAATGTGAATATCTGGAGATGTAAAGTATTAGTCAATAAAACAGCAACCTGACAAGACAATAAACACACATGAAATAACAGATCAAGTAAATATATCAAAGAGTCTCCTGTCCTAAGTTCCAATGACTTTTTTGTATATGAACCTAGATTATTTATTTGAAATGGTATTAAAAATTTCTGGCTAAATTAATTTTGATAGATATTTTCATAAAGCTTGTAAAGTAATTTTGACTTTTCACTTCTAACAGAAAAGAATGGGGATTGTGTCCATGGGATACAGACGATGCCCCCGCTAGCATATCATAAAAGGACACAACTGAAGAACGGTAAAAGTGACACTACCTAAATTTGTACTGATCTAAGTTTTGTGGTAATAAGTATTGTGTATAAGTTTCATAAAATTTGGTTGAGGCAAACTTAAGCTAGAAAACAGAAACAATAAATTCAGCAATTTTTCCGTTTGTTAAGGGGTATAACTCTAGAACAATAAAAGTGACAGCCCCAAAATTCAAATTTGATCTGTATTTTGTGGTCATAAGCATTGTGTATAAGTTTCATAACATTTGGTTGAGGCAAACTTAAGTTAAAGAAAGGAAACGAAAAATTCAGCAATTTTTCCATTTGTAAAGGGGCATAAATCTAGAACGGTATAAGTGACACCACCAAAATTCTAACTTGATCTGTGTTTTGTGGTAATAAGCATTGTGTATAAGTTTCATAATATTTGGTTGAGGTCAACTAAAGTTAGAGAACCGAAACCAACTTTGGGACGTACAGACGGACAAGGGTAAAACTTAATGCCCCCTGCGGGGGCACAATAATTTCACAACCCACAGCTCATTTGTATTTATAAGAGTTATTTGTTTAATTCATTGTACAAGAAATAGAAGAAATCTTTTGGGATTATGAATCACAGAAATAAATTATAATATATATACAAGAATAATTGTCTCCTACCATTAACATTGCGAAATCTGGAGCATGGCCAGTCATACCAAAAACTGTTGTCTTTAAGTACTTTTCGTGCCCTGCTAAATCTATAAAAGTTATCACCTACAAAAGAAAGCAAAATAACAATGTAACTACAATGTGAAGAAATATTCAAAATCTTTAGTTTTTTATATTGTGTTTTATAGACTGCTGTTTGTCCTTTGGTTGTTTTTCCTTTTTAGCCATAACAATTGTCAGTTTGTCTTTGACGTATGAGTTTGGATATTCCTCTGGTATTTTCTGTCTCTCTTCTAAAACAAAACAAATAAAAAGCTAAATTTAACATGTAATATTCTGGTTTCAGCATTTAAAGGTAATGGTTTTATTTTGTAGTTTCATCAGGAGTAAAAGCAATAACTGAGTGCAAGTATATGCATACAAAATGTGCTTTGGTCAACTCTGTTACACTCCATTTCTGCAAAAAGAAACTTTCAATTCTAAAATAACATTTCGGCGTGTATTTGATCTTAAACAGAGATTTTAATAGATAATTTTTCATGCTTTCCTTAGGTAAAATAATGGAATTCAATTTCAGTAAAAAGAATATTTTTGTCCTATTTTTCTATCAAAAGATGCTGGCCTTTGTATATAGTTGTTTACCTTCGCTGATTCCTCACAGATTCGGACCCAGTCTAAGTTTCCATGCTCTGGTTTGTTGACCACTTTTCCTGTGGCATCAAACCCTAAGATATCATTCCCCACACTACTTGTTCTCCCTGATTCCATCTCGTGTTTATGTCGGAATAATTTCTGTCTTGCATGTCCTCTACCATTATCTAGCTCCCCGTGTGTCAGTACACCAAGTAATGTACTTTTACCTGCATCTACATTCCCAACTACAGCAACTCTAAAAATTCAAGAAAATATTACTTAGTTCCATCATTACAAAACAGGCAGCCATTCTTGAAGGATCAGATCAAAAGGGTCTACTGTACCAAGAAAATGGTGATTGACTGATAGATTGTTGGTATTTAATACCACTTTTAGCACTAATGGCTATGTCGTGGCTGCCAGTTTTTATTGGTGGAGGAAGCCTGAGTACTCGCGTGGAACCACAACTTTCAATAAGAAACCGGCAATTATAGTCAATTTAGATAGGAGTCGAATGCACGAGAAATGTTGGAACTGACATCCTAACTGTTGATAGACAAGTGATAACTGTAGATGAACTACTTGCTTGGCCATGTAGGCCCCAGAAGAAAAAGGTGAAAACAAAATTTTAATGCATATCAAAAATTACTAATTTATAATAAAACAATTTATTACATTGGTAGCATTGAATTACATTGATTTCCCAGTCAAATAAAAACCGATAATTTCACATGTGAAATAAACGTGGTTATTTCACTCTCTGATGTCATACAACAATAGGCGTTGTCAAGACGTCGATAACGTCGGATCAAAACAAATTGTGAATGCGTAGAAAAAAAGATATAGTTCCTTACATTTTCTACATTAATTTCATTAAAAAAAGCCATTTGCCAATGTTATAAAAAGAATAACTAATCAAAGAATTCAAATATCGAAAAATATTCAACTCGTGACCGAACAACACTGATAATTAACTCATGCGCTACGCGCATTCGTGAATTAATGTGTTGTTCGGTCACTCGTTGAATATTTTTCTCTATTTGAATTCTTCGATTAGTTATTCTATAAATAAGTTTATAAGTTCAAATGTCTTGGGAGGTATCATATCTCATTGGATGGTAAAATCTATATCAATAGAGTTTGTTAGTTAGACAGATAACTGTCCTGACTTGTTAGTGAGACAGATAACTGTCCTGACTTGTTAGTGAGACAGATAACTGTCCTGACTTGTTAGTGAGACGGATAACTGTCCTGACTTGTTAGTGAGACAGATAACTGTCACACCATTGTCAGTGTCAGCAAAACCAGTTGTAAAAAATCAAAATTTAAAAATCATCAGAATTATTCTCAATTGTGGTGCTTTATATTTACCGAACTTCCATAAAGTCAGCTGGTTCCAACTTTCTCCTTAAAAGATACTCATGAACACAGCCATCCACTTCTCTTTTGTCTCGTAACAGAACCATTTCCACACCTAGAGTTTGAGCTATCATTTTCAATGTAGCAGCACTAGCCTGGAGATCTTCTTCATTCAGACCTGGTGTTTCTCCATCTAAAAGAAAACATAGAGGTATATATATGTCTGATATATTCATTTTTTATTGATTATTTTGTCATAAATCAGGCCTTTCTTTTTCTTGTTTGAATTGTTTCACATTTTGTCATGGTGGGCCTTTTAAAGTTCACTATACCATGTATATGGTATGGGTTTTGCTCATTGTTGAAGGCCATACAGTGACCTTTAGTTGCCAAAATTAACATCATTTGGACTATGGTGGAAAGTTGTATCATTGGACTTTTTACCACATTTCCTTATTTTTAAATAGATATGTACAAATGCATATAATAGATTTCATACATTGAAAATACAAAATCATACATTTTGCCAGACATTTTTTTTTAAAGGGTAAGTTTAATCCTGTCCTTAAAATCAAATAAAATGCTTCGCTGGGCGCAGCTTGATACGACCGCAGAGGTCGAACCCTGAACAGTTGGGGCAAGTATGGACACAACATTCAAGCTTGATACAGCTCTGAATTTGGATTGTTATTAAATATTTGACACAGCATAGGTTTCTGACACAGAAAGAATGTGGTCTAAGAACTTCAATTTTTTTAATTTACCTATTATGGTCCAATGTCCAAAATCAAAATAGATGGTTAGATTCAGCATATCAAAGAACCCCATATATTCAATTTTTGTTGAAATCAAACAAAGTTTAATTTTGGACCCCAACTTGGACAAACTTGAAAACTGGTCCCATAATCAAAAATCTAAACACATGTTTAGATTCAGCATATCATAGTACCCGAAGAATTCAATTTTTGTTAAAATCAAACTAAGTTTAATTTTGGACCCTTTGGACCTTAATGTAGACCAATTTAAAAAACGGGACCCAAAATTAAAAATCTAAATACACCATTAGATTCGGCATATCAAAGAACCCCAATAATTCAATTTTTGATGAAATCAAACAAAGTTTAATTTTGGACCCTTTTGACCTCAATATGAACCAGTTTGATAGCGGGCCCACAAATAAAAAATCTAAATACATGGTAAGATTCAGCATATCAAAGAACCCCATATATTCAATTTTTGTTGAAATCAAACAAAGTTTAATTTTGGACCCCAATTTGGACCAACTTGAAAACTGGGCCAAAAATCTAAAATCTAAATACATGTTTAGATTCAGCATATCAAAGAACCCCATATATTCAATTTTTGTTGAAATCAAACAAAGTTTAATTTTGGACCCCAACTTGGACAAACTTGAAAACTGGTCCCATAATCAAAAATCTAAACACATGTTTAGATTCAGCATATCAAAGAACCCCAAAAATTCAATTTTTGTTAAAATCAAACTAAGTTTAATTTTGGACCCTTTGGACCTTAATGTAGACCAATTTAAAAAACGGGACCCAAAATTAAAAATCTAAATACACGGTTAGATTTGGCATATCAAAGAACCCCAATAATTCAATTTTTGATGAAATCAAACAAAGTTTAATTTTGGACCCTTTTGACCTCAATATGAACCAATTTGATAGCGGGCCCACAAATAAAAAATCTAAATACATGGTAAGATTCAGCATATCAAAGAACCCCATATATTCAATTTTTGTTGAAATCAAACAAAGTTTAATTTTGGACCCCAATTTGGACCAACTTGAAAACTGGGCCAAAAATCTAAAATCTAAATACATGTTTAGATTCAGCATATCAAAGAACCCCATATATTCAATTTTTGTTGAAATCAAACAAAGTTTAATTTTGGACCCCAACTTGGACGAACTTGAAAACTGGGCCCATAATCAAAAATCTAAACACATGTTTAGATTCAGCATATCAAAGAACCCTAAGAATTCAATTTTTGTTAAAATCAAACTAAGTTTAATTTTGGACCCTTTGGACCTTAATGTAGACCAATTTAAAAAACGGGACCCAAAATTAAAAATCTAAATACACCGTTAGATTCGGCATATCAAAGAACCCCAATAATTCAATTTTTGATGAAATCAAACAAAGTTTAATTTTGGACCCTTTGGACCTCAATGTGGACCAATTTAAAAACGGGGCCCAAAATCCAAAAACTTAATACACGGTTAGATTCAGCATATTAAAGAACCCCAAGAATTCAAGAATAAAACCCCATTGAAATTGATCAAGAAATAAGCAATTTATACGAAGTATCTTCTTTTGCACAATACTGTGCAATTGAATATTTCTTGCTATTGCGCAATACTGTACAATTGACAATTTCTTGCTATTGCGCAATATTGTGCTATTGGATATTTCTTGCTATTGCGCAATACTGTTAAATTGAAGATTTCTTGCTATTGCGCAATACTGTGCAATTGAAGATTTCTTGCTATTGTGCAATACTGTGCAATTGAAAATTTCTTACTATTGCACAATACTTATTATATAATAATTTACACATCCTGTTTGGTGTGTATCTCCTACCATATCATTATTATTTGCTTTTAAATATAAATCAGAAATAACCAACTTAAAATGGAAAATTTTAAAAGAAAAAAAAAAGGAAAAAAAGAAAAAAAAAAAAAAAAAAAATCCCCCCCCCCAAATTTTTTGAACCCCTTATGATTCATCACCCCCAAACTCAATTCCAGCTTTCCCTTTGTGATATGGAACCTTGTAGTACAATTTCAGAAATATCCAAACACTTACACACAAGTTATTGACATGAAACTAGAAAAATGCTTGTTTTTTGCCCCTTTTTTGGCCCCTAATTCCTAAAATTTTGAGGCAATTACCCCCAAAATCAATTACAGCCTTCCCTTTGTGATATGGAACCTTGTGGTACAATGTCAGAGAGATCCATACACTTACACACAAGTTATTGTCTGAAAGTTACAAAAATGCTTATTTTTGGCCCCTTTTTGGCCCCTAATTCCTTAACTGTTGGTACCATAACCCCCAAAATCAATCCCAACCTTCCTTTCGTGGTATTGAACCTTATGGTGAAATTTCATGGAGATCCATTCACTTAAACTAAAGTTAGAGTGCGAAAACCAATGTGTCTTCGGACGACGCCGGACGACGACGACGACGACAACGACGACGACGACGACGCCAACGTCATACCAATATACGACCAAAAAATTTTTAATTTTTGCGGTCGTATAAAAACAATAACAATGAAGTGTTTACCTCCTGTTCCTATTTCATAAATTGTCTCCCCTTGTCCTTCTTCTATTCTGTCTTTTATTACATCACAAATATATTCATATTCTTCATGATTAGGACTGATGAAAGATGTCTGAAATCAAATGGTCAAAATTATTAATTTTTGCCCTCCCAAGTTTGAGACTAAATAGCTAGCGCTTTGACTACTGCTTTATAACATGTATAAATCGAATATACCCTGCAAGTGTGTTAGTCTCTCAAACTTAATTGACTTGGATAGCCAGTTTTCAAGCAGAAGGTAAGTGGTTCATTAGACTTTGAATTCATAGACTATATTTTCAGACAGCATTTCTTTTGCTTGATCCATTTAAGTTACCTTAGTGGAAAACGGAGAACACTGCATTACCTAAGTTCTTTAACCCAACATTTATTTTGTTTAGTTATGAACTTTCATGCAGATAAGATGAATCAATTCTAACTCATACAAATCATCAAATTCATTAACTGACTGAAATACTGTAATGTATGTTGACCTCTAGATGGCTTTTGGTTATTTGTGTCGTTGGGTTGCTGTCTCATTGACGTATCCTATAACCCAATGTTTACTTTTATTCATACTTTATTTGTTTATAATGAAAATGCTTTAATATTCATCACTGAAAACAGCCTTATAATTAATGTATTTCTATATGTGTACATGTACATCTTATCATGTTTATTTTAGAAAAATAAAATCATGAAAATGTTAAAGAAAACCTTGTTTAACCCTGCCACAATTCATGTGCTGAATTTTGGTTTTATTTTTATTTTTGAGAATTGGGTGATGATGCCAGATATTTCATATATAGCTTCTGTTAAATTCATTCACATTTTTTTTTATATTCTGCATGATTTTTAGAGCTTGACATTTTGTAAGAAGACCCCTGTTTAGTAGAAGACTGTACATACAATTTATGTTGCCTTCTAGATGTCTTTTGGCTGTTTTTGTCATTTGCATTCTCTTTGATGTATAACCAATATATCCTTTTGTCACATTCAAATGTATATACATGTAGATCATGTAGATAAATACCTTTGAAGTGAGTGGTGAGGCATCTACTTCAACATCATGTCCTGGGGAGAACAAATTGCCATCTGGATCTTCAGATGTTTCCAGTTCCAGTTCTCTAGGACTGATTGCTGGCGACGGCATGTCAACTGCCGCTGCCATTTTTATATAATTCTTTTTTTTCTTCTTAAAACTCTTTTTTTTTGCAAATTAAAATCTTCAAGACAGCCTTTTTATAGCAATGGTATCTACCAAGTGTAAGCACTGCTTGGATTTATAACTGATTTGTTTAATGTCTTTAAGTAAAGACAAGTAGTCACCTGAAATAAAAAAAAATATCTAAATGTACAATCCTTTCATGTCATGCATGTACAGCAGTGTTCCAGCTTGAATCTCAGGGCAGAAGGGTGCTAGTTGTCTGAAAGGGCACTTTAGCGTTATAACCCAGATTTTAAGGGCACTGTTGGACAGTGTATAAATTACCTTGATGCTTGAATATTGCTAGGCTCATGCAGCTGGAGAACATTAGTAGTATTTAAACCTGTTCTTGATGCTGGTTCCAGTAAGAATTTTTTTTTATCAAATTATCATACCATGAAGCAAAGCATATCATTTTGATGTTAATCTAAACAAACTTGTACATTTGGTAAGAAAAATAATCATCAGAAATTTCAATGTTTTATAACTTATACCAGTCTATAAAAATAAACAAGTAGTTTTGAAAGATGGAGTTATACATGCAAAATTGAATGTTTAATGTAATTAAATTATCTACATTTAAATTACTTGTTCAAACATACAGTATATATGTTATTGAGAGTTATTTATTATCATTTGAATTGTTACAAAAAAGTATTTTTAAGTGCAGACCAAAATGCTCCTCAGTAAGGAGTTTTATAAATATAACAGGTGAGACTGTAGATGATCATATTATATTGATGCAATAATATATTGCAGAAGGTATAAATAGTTACTTTTTTCTTCATCATTGTTAAAAATAAATTTGTTGAGTGCTCCTATGTCAGGAGGATTATAAAATACAAGAAGTAAAACAGGAAGTGAATCTTGTTATGTTCAAAGTACAAATTTCTTTGATTCTTCTTTAAATTTCATACTCATGGTTATGAAACAAAACATTTTTTACCAATTAAGTCAAAACTATGTATGCCTTTTGAAATTGTTTAAGATTTTATTTTTTATGTTATGCCTACTGAAATAAATTTTTTCAGGTGTACATGCTGTACACAAACATTACAAATGGATAACATGTGGACATTTCATTCTGTATTAAATATCTAGTATTTGTTCAATTATCTTAAATCCACTAATTAGCAGTAAACAATCATCAACAAAGGTGATAAAACTGCCAAAGCATTAGGTATTTAACTTAATCCCATTGTCAGTTAATTAGTGTTACACAATCAGGTTACCTGACAGGTAACAATTTTACCGGAAACGCCGGTAGGCATGAAATTTGGAAATTTTATTTTTTGAAAAGGCAGAGGGGTGCATTCTTTTACTTTGGAGGGCAGAAGGGCGGGGGTAAGGGCACCAAGGGCGGGTCGCCCTTCTATTTAGGGCAGGCGGGAACACTGTACAGTGCACTAGACATTTTTGTTCATTCTTCAAACAATGCAATAATTAGTGAGTTTACAGTAAAAGTTAACATAATCTGGAGGGCTTAAATAATTTTACTATTTTTGCAAATTTGAGGCCAAATAATGGATCTTTATCATACCATACATATATTTACTTTCTATTCAAAGCTTCACATGTACAGTAGCTATAGGTACATGTAAAGTTCAGATTTAAATTATTTTCAAAGTTTGAATATAGCCTCCTCTTAAGCTTCTCCTAAAAAATCCATTTTTTATGCAAACAACATTGACCAAGAAAGAAATATCTGAGGCATATTTTTACTCCAAAAAACTTAAGAATTTAAGTGGTTGTCAATGCATTTTGTGTGAATTTCAAATGCCTATTATTAGCAATGCTTAAAAACAATGCGTTTAATATGGAAGCACCCTTATCTATCTATGCTAGTGTAAAATCTAAATCAGGAACAGGTCGCATCCAACATTTGTACTTCAGAATCAAAGGGGAAAGTGACATCTCTTTATGAAACTGATTGGGATAAGTTGGGAGACTTAAAAGATTAGTGCTCGTTGCATTTGGCTGCCAGCACTATAATGATTGGTTTTACAACGATATTCAAAATGTATCTTCATTCTTGCATTTGTATTCTTATTATTAATTTTTTTTGTGTACTATACCAGGGTTTTCAATATGTTTGAAGTGAACAGGCTGTTTACTAATTGGAAGTGGCTGATAGATGGGGGGGGGGGGGGGGGGGTGTCCAGGAAATTTCTATTTTTACTTACAATGAAAATGGTGCACTCTGAGGCATTTTCAGACTGTTTACAAGTACATAAAAAATGAGGTTTCATAGGAATTATATCTTCTTTTTTTTAGCTTTTGTTGAAGTAACTTAAATCTTATTTGTAAGTTGTGATATTGCTTATCAAATAAAAACATTAATTGTAATCAATCATATTGGCAGATATTTTCAAAAGGTAAGAAAGCAGCTGATGGGTTATAATCAACCATTACCAAGAATTCAATGCAATCAAGTTGAGTAAACAAGAAACAACCTCAAATCCTGGATCATAAACATTACCAGTCAAAAGACACAACAATAATCGATTCTAACCATGAAGAAATTAAAGCAGTATTTTTCCTAGCCTAGCCAAACATACATTTAAATTTTATGAAGAAAGGATAACTTGAAAAAAATATCATGCATAAAAACAAAAATTGCAGGCCAACCTATATGAAATTTTTGTGATTTATTTTTTATAACCGAAATTTTCAGAGTAGTTAAGACTATAAAACTACAACAAAACTGGAAACAGGATAAACAATACATGTTCACCAACCTGTTGTTATGACGATATATTGTGTCTATTCGTTGAGCTCTGTGTCAATAATCATACTTATACTTGACAACCATATCAGCGTTGAATGGATCCGATAATTATTATGATCTTTATTAAAGAATTGATAGTCACAACAACTATCGATATTCATGCGTAAACTGCATAATATATGATTCTGTTTTCACCTGCTTCTTTTTTCTTTATCATGTTTATGGGGGTTGTAAAGAAATCAAGCAACCTGATTTTATTTTTACTTGTTTACTTGTCATCTTGGATCAACATGTGTTTTCTCTGTGACAAAAGGGCGCTTTGCTAAGATATAGAATTATCCTTTTTCAAAGCGCACAAATGATTATATTAAAAATCATTTCAGATGTCTCGTTCCTTATCCATCTTTGTAACGTTGTCAAGAATCTATAAATACATGTATATTATAACGCAGACCTCTACGAGAACAATTTGAACCGGCGATTTCCTTAATTTGAAACGGTGAAAATTTGCCGGGGGTCAGTGCTTATTGAAAACTATGCTATACAAAATCTACAAATCTAATTTTATCTTATGCCTGTGAGAACTATGATTATCTGCCTATTTGATGGGTTATTAATTGTAACAATCCTGTAAATATTTCATTTAAATATATATAAAGGGTCAGTCAGTCTGCATTTTTAGTTCTATTAAATTTATCATACAACCATGATTTCCAATGTTCAATGATAATAACGTAATTTACAGAAAGAAGAATACTCTAATGACAAAAATGAATGAACTATTTAGATAACAGGGTTTTACTTGAAATGCATTAAAAAAACTAAATATCAAATGTGTTTTGTCCATCCACATTTCTGGATGCAACTTCAAAGCAAGGACAGAAGCTTTTAAACTCAGCAATCGTTAAATGCTGAATTTATGTAAAGTTAGGAGAGCCTTTAACCTTGCTTCAAAACTTTTCCTGGATTACGAAACGATGCCATTTCATACACTTCTATCTTCAATGTATAAAACTCTTCATGTAGCTAGTAGCACCTCTGAATATGAGAATTTTGTTTCAAGAAAGATAACTAAAATCATCTTTTTCCTTAACTTAAAGAATTACTCAAATCTGTCTGCCTCCTTTTACCTTTGAGACATATAGGTTTAGGAGACTTCTTGAGTTAGTCTTAGATCAAACTTACAATTGAATTACATTGTACTACTAGCCCGTAGAAGCTATTTCAATGTAACACTTTGTAAACAGTTACAATAGTGCCTGCAGAAGCTATTTGAATGTGATACATGTATGTATTTATATTATTAAAGCAAAAAAACTGTTTTGATTAATCTTTATTGCTATATTTCAACAGTTACAGTAACGAATCAAGTGTCACTAGCATGATACATTGTGTAAGCTGGCTTAACTGGATACCTATATACCAAACGAACAGTTAACATCAGATCATGCTTATTCACATTATTTGGCATACACTATCTTCAGCCTAAGACGTGACTACAGTGAAAGCTCCAACTATGGAAGCTTTCAAGACACTGATTACGTAGATGATGGAATGTTTTTCTTCTGCACCGACTGTACATGTACATCAGGCACCTTATTTTTAATTTTTAATCTTTTATGTAAATAGGCATTACCAACAGCTATGCACACCCTAAGTATTGGGTGCTCATTAATGAATTTAATTACTGTATCAAAGAAAAAGAAGATATTCTTGTACTTATAAAATACTGAAAAAGAAAATGAAAGTTAAAATTCAGCTCAAGTCATGCTGTTTTCATGTATATATTTAAGACAAAGCAATCACAGCCTTAGTTTTATTCTGTAACCTAGAAAAAGTCAATTCTTTTCTTTCATTAAAGTGACTAAACAGCTCAAAATCCTAGCTTAAACCCTACTATAAAGTTTACATAACTACTGAGTACTGTGCAGATCCTAGTGTATTTTTTCTTAGACATACTCACATTTTCAGGTAACCATTTGAAATTTCCTAATAATAACTATTAGGATATCCCTAAAATATTACATTTTTAATTATTCCATTTTCATTTTTCGATTCGTTTATCAAGTTATTGGTGTAGTATACTTTTTCCCAGCTGGTAACATGTGCATTCGCATAAGGGAATCGACACGTATTTCAGCTATTTATTGATTTTTTTGAAAGTTTTTCGATGAAAATTTATTTTATAGGTCTTGATTGCCGACGCTGATGCAATATGCCTGTAATATGAACTTTGCATTATGGATTATACCTTATAAAGAAAACATTGCATTGCGCCACCATGTCATCATCAAATCAAAATAGGATATTCTAAAACAGGAAGTTTGTGGATGGATACGTACTTTTTCCGGAAAATATATTTTTTGGGACAACGAGTTTCGATTACTGGGAAACGTGAATAGTGCACTTCGAATAGTGACAGTGTTAACAGTTGAATATATCATGTGTAAATTGCAAGCAACAAATAGTTGAATATATCATGTGTAAATTGCAAGCAACAAATAAACGCTCATAATTAGTTAAAATGTTTAGTTTATGCAACGGTATATTAAAGTCAATGGAAAGGTACATACGGAAGCAAGACAACTCGCCCCATTGCCAAATCGCCCCACTTTTCCGCCAACTCGCCCCACTTTGCCACCAACTCTCCCCACTTTCTACCAACTTATGAAAAAGGGTCCTACGACTTATGAAAAAAAGGTAAAATCCCAACTCGTCCCACTTATATGTCGACTTAGGAGAAAATAGTAAAATCCCGATGAATTTAGTCCTGCCAACTCGCCCCACTTCTGAAAAAAGGGTGAAATCTCGATGAATTTAGTCCTGCCAACTAGCCCGACTTATGAAAGGAAGTTTTTAATCTACAAAAAAAAAAGAAAGAAAAGTTAATAGATGATTCTGATTGAAATTAAATGATGTAAAGTAAAGACACATTTTTTATTATTATGTAAATTGTAGTATTTATTTGAGAAAAAACTTTTATTTTTGCAAGCTTACTTATTTGCATAAAAATTGCGGAAAAAACAATTTAAGGATTTCAATTTAACAGCAGGTTTTTTTTTATAGCAATAAACGGATTAGTAACTTTTGTCTTTAGATTAAGAATAATTCAGCGCTAACGAGCAATCAGTGAAAGACAAATGTACTTTCAAATAGGTATCAAAGAGAACGTCTTTATTGAAAATTGGTTTAATCCAAATGAGTTACTCTCTTTAAATAAAGATATTATTATTATTATTATTATTATTATTATTATTATTATTATTATTATTATTATTATTATTATGTCCATTCATTCAATTACAATAAGCGTCTATGGTGTTTTTGTTAGTAAAAGCAGAGACATATAATACAAGAGATTCGCAACTCGGCGAACTAACACAATTTCTCCCGGCCACTAGGAAATCCTCGCGAGATCTCCTTTGGTAATTAAAAGTATTAAAAGTACTCGAAGTAATGATGAATGTATTATATGTCTCTGGTAAAAGTAGTCAAGGCAGTCCTTTAACATCAGTGCATCCTCTGATGTGCCAACTGTTCAACGTGAAATTTTATTTTAATTCTTTTTTTTTTCATAAGTGAGACGAGTTGACAGACCTTTAATCATCGGGATCAAACTTCTTTTCATAAGTGGGGCGAGTTGGTAGTCTTTAATGCAGTACGGTTTAATTCTTTTCTTTTTTATAAGTGGGGCGAGGTTGCAGACCTTTATTCATCGGGATTAAACTCTTTTTCATGAATGGGGCTAGTTGGCAGGACTAAATTCATCGTGATTTTACAATTGTTATAAGTGGGGTGAGTTGGCAGGCCTTTATTCATCGGGATTTTACTCTTCTTCATAAGTGGGGCGAGTTGTCAAGACTATATTAAACGGGATTTTACCCTTTTACATGAGTGGGGCGAGTTAGCAGGACTAAATTCAACGTGATTTTACCCTTTTTCATTAGGAGGGCGAGTTGATGAAAAGGTGGGGCGATTTGGCAGTGGGGCGAGTTGTTATGGATTCGTACATACACAGGCACTCGTCTCTGATTTGTTTTTTTTTAATATTAAGGTCTTCTTCTGTAAGTAGATTCCTCTGATATCGGAGCACCCGTGTCACACGGTATTAAAAGCCCTTACTTTTACTGGTATAATTAACCAAAAAGTAAAATAATAAAATAATAAAAGGGTCTATATAGAATCTGGCATAAGTATTTTAATGTTTAAAATGTCTTGAAAATAGAAAGGATATACACCTAAATGTAAAAATAGAACAAAACACCATAATCGAGCTCTATTTACACCTATTAGAGTGAATCATTTACATAGTGCCTATTTAAAATATACACAGATTTTCAGTTTGATCTTCTTATTCCTTATGGGATAGAGGTTTAAAACTTATAAAATATAGTTTGTTTATCCATTCAAATATGCTAAAAGGTTGAGGAGTAAATAAAACTTATAAAATCTAAAATATCTTATTTGTTTTAGATTTTGTTTCATTGAGGGAAAACAATGACTAATACATTAACAATTCTATTTAACATTGATAAAAATAAAGTGAATAGTTAAAACTTCTAAAATAAGTTATTTGTCTTAGATTTAAATCCTTAAGTTGGATTATATTTAAGGTTTAGAGATATTTTTTATTTAAGAGTCAAGTGCTTGTGGGTATATTATGAAATTTAGTTCGAGGGTCTTATAAATATATAGTATATACATTTCCATTGACTATCCAATTTAGCACATATTCAAAACTCGCGGAGTAATCTTATTAGTTTTTTTTTTTGCTGATTACTTGTTTCATAGGTATTTGTGAAAAGGAGTTCATAAAATAATGATTATGTTATGTAAATTTTTCTAATTACTATAATAGCTGTCATGTTGATTCAAATTGTGACAGTGATTTACCAGATCTGAGTTCATAAATGCAGCACAAACAAGAACTTGACTGTTTATTTGCCAATCAAACGTAACAAAATGGTGATTTTAAAAGGCCATTGATGCGGCATTCACACAGTGCCGATTATGGCGGCTCCCGTTTGAGATCAAACAGCGCTAAGACACGAAAAGTACTATCCTCAAGTAATGATCTGGAATGTCCTATCATTGTCCGAACGCAGTCGTATACGTTCGTAACAGATTCCTACGGATCGGAAATGGTCCGGAGAGGTCGACCAAGCTCCCCGACAGTTAGGTGCGTCCCGTAACATTCGGGGAAACTCAGCCGATTTTGTCTAGTCGGATTACAATCGTGACTATATAGTGACAGATTCTGCTGTATCGGATCAAAATCGTAACAATGTTCTGTGTTTTCTGGAAGTGTCCTGTGGAACGGGCATGATCTGGAGAAATTTGTCATGCTGTTTTTTTACCGATTGAGTCAAGATTGCATCCAGATCTTGCCGAATGCGAACCGTCTTTGTTCCGGAACAGTCCCGTTATCAATGCGAAATTCGGCATTAATATCCACGTCGGAGTCCTGACGAAGCCGTTTGTAATGCGGTACAGTAGACTGTGCTAGAATTGCGTTCCGGTAGTACCTGATAATCCCGAATATGGCTATTTTTTTATAGGACGGGACTACCACATGAAACGGTTTTCAAACGGATATCTTCCGTCAGCGTCGGTTTACTGTCTGTTCACTGTCTGATATCTGTCGCCGGGATCGCATTCGGCAGAATCGGGACGTTGTCGGGACCTATTTTGTCTTTTTTTTAACCATGTGAAAGATACAAATCGAATTAGAATCGGATTGAGAACGGGATAATCGGAACAAATTCGGCTGGAAACGGCTTAATTTGGACGCTTCCTGAACAATATCTGATTTTTGTCGTGATTAAATAAATGTTTTAACAAATTTTAATTAAAGTTTGAGTTTCCACCCGCGATTCACCGGATCTTGATCAGACTTTTGACAAACTTCAATCGGGAATGGTCCTATCAAGGACGGCAGTAAAAATCGTGAATGTGTGACCCCAGCTTGACACACGAATGAAAAATATAATAGCTGCTGGTGTAGGTATATGTATATCATTGAGATAAAAATGTCTACCTCTTTACATGTTAAGATGACACAATAAAATTGAGAATTGAAATGGGGAATGTGTCAAAGAGACAACAACCCGAACAATAAATTGACCAAAACATACATACTTTTGTTATAAATCAGGCCGTTAGTTTTCTCGATTGAATTGTTTCATATATTTCATGTCGGGGACTTTTATAGCCGATTAAACGGTATGGGTTTTTCTCATTGTTGAAGGCCGTACGGTTGCCTATAATTGCTTTCATCCACTTCTTTTGAACTTTGATGGATAGTTGTCTCATTGGCAATCATACCACATTTGATTCTCCTTATTTTTATATAGATACTAAGTAGTTTAAAGGCCGTGGGTGTTCTACATGTTTAATTGAAAACATTTTTTTTTTAATTTCACAGTAAAAGTAAAGATATTTTAAGTCTGCAATCTATAGGATACTTCATCTTATATTTTTCACTTTTGATATGATCTGATATTTTTCTTGACATTAGTTTAGGTAGCGTCATATGTCTTTTCTTTGTCACTGCAAATTTATCATTTTTTTTTTGAAGAGCATGGTGATTCTTGCATCTTTTAGTCTTTGTTCCAAATATCTTCATTCTTGGTTGACCATCTTGCTTACACTTGAGCGATCATTGTGTTTATTCATCATGTATCGTGCTACTCGTCTCTGGACCATCTCTAGTCGGTCAATTTCTGTTTTATAGTATGGATCCAATACTGGACTGGCGTATTCTTTTAAGGGTCTTACAAAATTAATAACAAAAGTATTTTTATTTACCTGTGTACGTTATTTTATTTGGCGGCATTCAAATTTATTCGTTCAGTGTATGTTCACTTGTTTTTGTTAATATGTCTTTCGATTGAGTTAAGCCATTTCAATTGATATTTTATAGTGTGTCTTTCTATGTTGTGATGTTAAACTATTGTTTCAGGTAGGGTGAAGGTTGGCGTCTATTAAAACGTTTAAACCCGCTGCATTTGTTTGCACCTGTCCTAAGTCAGGAACCTGATGTTTAGTGGTTGATGGTAAGTACATTGCACTTGTCTGGGTGTAAGGCCACTTTCCATTTGGTTTCCCATGTAGCTAGTTTATCCAGATCTTTGTGTAGGTCGTTCGAGTCTTTGTTGACGAAAGAATAATTAATCCTTTAGTCATTTCAATTAGCGCTTATACAACCTAAAACTCA